TCTGAATACTCTGACCGGACCGACAAGTTTCACTTAGAGCTACAGAAGGCTTTCTTGGGGGATATACCTCACACTTATAATTTTAACTAAAGTTCTCTTTCAACATTGGTTTAGATGGTTTTGAGAGTTGAATTTGTTATATTTTGGTGTTGTTAATAAAGGAACGTGTCCTTTAGGCCTTTCCAAATAAGAGTTCATGTTATATTTTTATAGACTTTTGTTGTAGTTAAAAAGGAAGCCTTTAACTAGTCAGGGATTTTCCCAAAGTATTTTCCTACCGAAGGAGGAAAAAAAACAATCAATGTGTTGATTATAATTATGTTCAGCTGGGGGTAGACAGAAACTAAGACCAAAACATTATCAGCATAGGAAACATTTGTTTCTCTATGTGTAAAAATCTGAATCCCAAATTCACATACCCAGTTCCACCAGAATTTTCCCACTGAGGGTAATAAGCGGCCCAAAGCCTCCACCTGGAGCCAAAGTCACGCTTTTCCCACCAGAACTGTCTCCTGACCTGGGCACCCGGCCCCGGACACCCCTCAGGCCCTGGACACCAGCCCCGCGCCACCCCTCAGGTCTCCTGCCCCCTCCCGCTGTGTCCACCCCCCAGCTCCCCAGCTCTGCCTTAGTTGCTGACTCCTGGGGAGCGTGCACACGTGCCACCTCCTGACATAAACCCTTTGCGTGCTTCACCTCCTTTCCACTCGAGCATTATTATTATTACCACCATTTATTTAACAGAGGAGGAAATTAAGGAACAAACTCCCAAATGTCACATGTTGAATGTAAGATCAGGATTTGAACCGAACCCGGGCCTCAACCCTGAAGCGCCCTTTTTGCCGAGCTGGGGATCAAACCCGGGACCTCGCACAGGCTCAGCGCTGGCCCTGCAGCAGAGGCCCCACCCACCCGGTCCGAGGCCCATGCTGCGCAGCTGTAGCTTTCTGGTTTCTTTTATTATTATGGGAGATCCTCATTCCATGGCCTCTCCTCGCCCCCCCAGTGCCAGGCTCCCCCCCAGTGCCATTTCCCATAGGACTGGTCACCATGGCCGTCTCTCTAAGACGCTGCCCGGTCAGGTTGGTTTGCAGCCTGAAACTCATCCAGCCTGTGCAGCACCGAGCTGTGCAGGCTCCATCCGGCTCCTCCACGGTGCACAGGCCGCTGCAGGGTGTGCCGGCCTCTCGGCCCCCTCCTGAGCCGTCTGTCTGGCCTCACTGCCCCAGGTCTCAGGCCCCTCCTAAGCCTACATCTAGATCTTTGCTTTGCCACTCGGGGCTCCCACCACAAGTTCAGGCTGTGAGGAAAACAGCTCCAGGGTCCCCCGGGGTGGACAGGGCCCGCTGGGCTTTCAGCCGAGTTACTGGACCTCTGGCAGCAGGATCAACAGCACCCTCTCCTGCCCAGCTCTTAGGCGCTCTTTGGGGCCTTGGTTCTTTGTGTCTGTGGGAGGAACCACATGCTTGGTGCAAAACAGTCACCCAGCAAATTGCCAAATACGAACAAACTGAACTTAACTACTTCATTTCTCTCCACCATTTTCCTACACAAAGCCTGGGAAATGAAGACTACCCTTGACCAGCACTGGCTTTACGCCGGCTTATTCACTGGTAGGGGAATTCCTCTCCGAGCAGGATTGGAATAATCCAGAGGCCACACAATTTGTACGGTGCACTGTGGGGAGAGATGTGAGAACCTACAAGGAAAGATCTGGATCAAAAGAAGAATGTGAATATATTCAAGAAAGAGAACACCTACAACACAGGAACTGCTGCCCCATGGCACAGAATGTGCCCAGCATCTTTGGGAGTAGGTTGTAAAGGAGATAACCTGGGAAATTTAAGAGCAGAAATCACAGCCACTGCTTTCAGTGGGCAGCGTACAAATTGATGGGTTGTAGGATTTTTAAAAAAGATCACAATAGTTTTATTTATCTCCTAAGATCCTGCCGCCTCAGTGGCCGGCTTCCAGGTGAAATTACCTTGTCTGGCCTTGGCTCATCCTCTTCTCCCTACTAATCAACCCTTCAGACCCTCATTCATTAGACGGGGTGATGTCCTTCACCACTAAAGAATCGCAGCCCAGAGGCTCGCTCACGTTGCCATGGAAACAGAATCACTTTCTGCTTCAAGACGCCTCACTTCGCTGGCACCATTATAAAGCACAATGCATTGGAAGGGCTGGGCTGGGAACCAGCTATTCCGCCCATCAGTGTTACACTCAGCCTTTGGGAGAATAAATGACTTTCAATTAGGGTACTTAAATATCGTTTAACTTTAATAATTATTGTTAGAGCCCCAACAGAATTTTACTTAGAACGGAGTTAAAAAATGGATTTGCCATTAAAAGGGAGAGCTATAAATTCTTTCAGACCAGAGTGCTTCCGTTAAAGAACATATGAGGGAATGTGTAATTATGATTTAATTATGCATAAAACAGGAGTCTCTGATTTTTGGTTTCCTGATTTGACCCTATTGTGGATTTGCGAGGCTTCTGTTATCTCTCTCTGTTTCAGTCTGTCAGCCTGCTTTCTTAGTAGGGAGTGTGTACACCTGCATCTTGTGTGGGGTGTGTGGGGCGTGTGGGGTGTGTGCACTCACATCCTCTGTTCTCAAATTGCTGGAGCTCCAGCCCCACTCTCTCTCCTACTCCTGGGTCTCCGTCTCTTCCCAGCATCCCAGCTCTTTTTGCCACCTGGTCCTGCTACTAGGATTTTCCCTTCACCTAGGCCCAACCCTCCATTCAGTGGCTGTCATCTTTTATTTTCTCTTTGTGTTAACTATTTCTTATTGCTTGTACACTGTCTCATAAGAGCAAATCTGCCAGACCTATACTGCTGGAACGATCAACTCAGTAAAATAAAATCCTGGAAACAAAACAAGAATCCCTCACCCATGCAGCTCTAAAGATGCTCACAGTCACGGGGTTTGCTTATAGACTATTAAAACAGACAGACAGCCACACACAGTCACACACACACATGATGCACGCACAAAAACACACGCACATCCACCCCACACACACAAACACACACTCAGAGTCTAATTAGAATCAGAGAAAATCACGTACAATGAAAAGGAAAGAAAGCCTTTTACTGATTGGCTAGTGATTAGAAAAGACCGTGATACTTTCAAAACACTTGTGTCTTAGTTTTGAAAGCCATGAAGAAGCAATGAGAGACAAGTGACAGCTGACCAATCAGTGGCCGCTATAGTTTGAATCTGTCATCCCACTTAATTGTTAAGTTATTTCCACTTTATGAACAATATAAAGTGGCTCAGATGATTTTTTCAAACTGTCATTCCCAAAGTCACCACACAAGCTCTGGCTTGTGACTCAAGTTCAGTGCCCTTTTCACCTGCATCCCCCGGTGGAGGGTTGGGTGGAGCTCTGTGTGCAGGGAGATAGAACTCAAGGACCCCAGGACACCAGGCCTGGGTGTGTCCCCCAACAGGACATTGGAGAAATGATTTGTGTCCAACTCAGACCTGTTCAGCCTTAATCAGCACGGAAGAATATCTTCTTGTTTCATTGTGTGTATAGGACAAAGCAGTTAAAATGTACAAAACCTGTCTATAACCCTGACAAGGACTTCGTGTTTCTACTGGAAAAGAGGCTCCCTGTGCTGTAACAGGTCCAGATAAACAGTGCCACATTACTGTCAATCAGTTCGGCCTCCAAATCACCATCAATCTCAAACCTCCAATCTTTTGGAGTGCAGACGTTGTCATGTATCTCTTCTATGTCTCCCAAATCATCTAAGACAGTGTTGGGTTGGTGTACAGACTGGCCGCTCAGTTTTAAATGATGGAATTGTGATTAAATCAAACCGTCCTCCAATATCTATTTAATTCACCACTTATAAGACCTAATTTTATTGTATTATCAGAGGATTCATTAAATACATAGATACAGTTAGCTCAGGGTGCTTCATGGAAATACATTCATAATCTTGGTTCACAGTAGCATCCAATTAGTTTTTATAAAGAATCAAATTATGACTTCTTTGTTATTATCACATATAAGAAATATCTCATTGCTCTAAATTCTACAGCTTGCCTTTCAGAGAACCCAGAAATGTTAGTGAAATAAGTGTTAGAGAAAAGTCACTTACCTAGTGCCTAAGATTCCTCCTCTAATACCTCTGGTAAATTCACAAAAACAGTCCTGTTTTAGTGCCTTTGTGTGTATGTACTGTACACTGGACTTGAAGCACACTGTTTCTCTCTCTCTCTCTCTCTCTCTCTCTCTCTCTCTCTCTCTCTCTCTCACCTTTTTGAGGCAGAGTCTCACTATGAAGTACAGGCTGGCCTTGAACTCACAACAGTCCTGCCTCAGTCTTCCAAGAGCTGTGATTACAGCTGTGCACCACCTTGTCTAGATAATATATTTTTTTCTTTTCTTTGGTACCAGGAATTGAACTCATGACCTCATCCTTGCTAGGCAGGCACTGTGCCACTGAGCTACCTTGCTGGCCCCACCAACTCTCATTTTATATCAGTCCTACGAAATTGAATCTAATTGTGGCAACCGCTTTGTAGATGAGGAGCAGATTCAGAGAGTTACAATAACTTGCTCAAGTCACAACACTAGTGTGACAGTGTCACCTGCACAGGCCACTTCCATGGATCTACCCTTAACCATGGGTCTGAACTGCCCCCCTGCCCACCAAGCTGGTGCATGGTCACCTCTGGGGAAACCAACTTTCCTTCAGTGTCTAGCCCTGTCAAGCCTTCATCCTTCATTTTATAAGTGGAAGGAAGGAAGGAAGGAGAGAGAGGGCAGGGAAGGAGAGATAAATAAGTAAACAAGAAAAGAGAAGAGGAAAGGAAGAATAGAGAGACAATTTCTCACTGTCTAAAACACCCTTCAAATTACCCAAGGATAAAATAGACCCATCCAACATGTTTTGCAGTAATCAACACTGTTGAATAATAAACCTCGGAGGTGCTGGTTTGGTCTGGTCTGATGTCATCTGCTCTGTTTTCATTTTGCAGGGGAGGTGTTCTTGCAGATTACAGGGCCGCTGGAAGAGATTTATAAGATCTACTGCTATCAGCACGACGAGGCCCAGAGCGTGCTGGAGTCCTGCGAGAAGGATGAGGAGCTGATGCGACACGTGGGCCCCTGTCTGCAGGCCTTAAAGTAAGCAGGGCAATTCCAGCTGGGTACCCACAGCACCCAGTGGGGCCATCTAGCAGGGACAGCGGGAAAGGGTCCCACATGAATCCAAGGCTTGTGAGACTGCCGGGCACTCTGCTGTGTGCTCCCGGGAGAGACAGCAGCCCCTGTCAGAAGCCTGCACCCACTGCTTTCTCCCCTGGAAGTTTGACTAAAATAACACAGGAGAAGATTCAGGGCTTGGTGGAGAGAAAAAAGTGCACTACCCAAAGAATAGTAAAGTCCAGAAGGAAAATCCTTTCTTAAAGCTGCCGTAACTTGGCAACTCCATACATTCCATGGACACCCTGGGCAAGATGGGGGTGCCTTGTGGACCCCAAGTGGCTCTCCTTCCCATGATGCCTTGTGGGGGATGAAGGGACAGTGGCAGGCAGTGGCAGGACAGTTGGCCATGCCCTCCATCCTCAGCCCCAAAATGCTGGGAAGGGTGCTGAATAACATACAAAGTTAGAATAAATATCTATTCACTATAAAATTTTTAAAAATAGAAGAAAGCATGGATAAGATTTTTGAAACCATGCTATTTCACCACCAATTAATACTGAAGTTCTCACTTCTGTTTGACGCTGTCCAATGCACACACTGCTGGCCATGCCGAGGGCAGCTCTAAGAGGAAGCTGGTAGCTCGCTGTGCGTACAGTGCCAGCCTCCTGGCTCCGAAAGCTAACGCTGCTCTCCAGCTCGGCATCCTGCCCAGGGCTGTCTATGGTCTTTCCCTGTCAGTGACTGCAGTCAGGCCAGCGACAAGAGACACAGATAGCTGTGGTGTGTAAATGAGTGCACACCGGTCTGATGTCCCACTCACCTCCCTTGGACGCTGTACTATGCAGGCTGGGTACAGGGAAGAGGGACAGAATAAGTGCCAGGAGTGTGGCAAGGTGTTAAAGTGAAATCAGGAGAGAGAGACTTTTTGGAAGAAGCCTTTCCAGACTGAGTCCGTCTGCAGCAGGGTTTACAGGGCGCCCCTGAGTTTCAATGAATGAATGAATGAATGAAACTTTAACTCGGTTGCCCTCTACTGGCTGTGAAAAAATTGCCAGGTTTTACTCATGTTTTTCTTATCATGGTCAACAATATAGTCAAAGCATTACATTGTGAGTATTTAGTTTTGTGCTGTGTCAAGGATAAGTTTGGAAGCTAAGAAAACAAAAATAAGTTGGACTTTATACTCAGCCCACAAGGAGCTCAGTGTGATCATCAGTTAACGCTTAAATTCCATACCTTCTAATCAACTCCAGTTAAATATTTCCCACTATGTTCTATTTAGTTTGGTGCTAACATATCAATTCAGAGCAATGTTAAAGTCTGAAGCCGTATTTGTCTTAAAAATTCATATGCAAGAATCAAAATCTTCTAAACATACAGCTACTTTTTTCCTTGGAAAAAAAATAAAGACATCCTAGATAGGGATGAATACCTTTCCTGCCTTAAAAGAAGTAGTAATGTCCAACCCAATAATGACTATGTTGAATCATTTTCTTCTGTTTCTAGAAACAGAAGAAATAGATATAGCAAATGAAAATCTAGCCTCTTGGGTCATCAGCCCAAATCCAACCCAGGGATGGAAGGTCCTCGGCTGGGCAGATGAGGTTCATCTGCACAGGACATGCACTCACCAGAAGTAAAGTTGCCTCCAAAGGAGGGTGGACATTGGTTTGTTATTCCTTAAGCTTTGTCTCCTAGGGCTGGTCACCCCTAGCTGTCTAGCTCAGTCTCACACCCCCTAAAGGATGGAGGCAATTTTGAAATCTCATCAGGTATCACTTCTTGAAAATTACTTTCAGGTCCAATGGCTTATTTGATCTTTTTCTGAAAGCTTTGAGTTGTTGTCCTATGATGCCCCAAATTTTGTATATTCAGAGCTGTTTTGATTTTTGGAAATAAATGTAGCCACTGGAAGGTGTTAACACTTAGAACTACCAAATCCAGAGGAAGCAGTATTGGCAGAAGTATTTCTTAGGGGAAAGAAAATCAAAATAAAGTAGTTTAAGTTAGAGCTATTTTCCCCAAAGTTGCCTTTCCATGGAAATAAAGTTGATGATGAATTGTGCTGGCCTGCCCGAGGGCTGACAGCTCTGGAATTATTGACATTACGGTAATACTGACCTCAATTGAACTGAGCCTCAAATTTTGAAAAACAGGTTTTCAAACAGGTTTATAGGCCAGAGAAAGTCTGCAACACCTGAGGGCTTGGTTCTCCTCACCCAGCAATCAGTCAAAGTTGTTGCCGCAGCTCTGCCTTTTCCTAGTGGCTAAAACACTGAGCCCAAGCTCAGGTGCCTTTGCTAACAAGTATTAGGTGCAGTCTCGGTTTTCTTCTGTGAGGAGGAAAATGTGGTTTGTAATAATATCCACTGGAGAGGCGGCTTCATACCCCAGAAGCTAAAGTGGATTTTAAAGTACTTAGATTGCATTTTAGCCAAAATTAAAATATGCTTATAGGAGCCTAATAAATATTTATTAAGACTGCAAGATAATGTTGAAAATATATATAAATACTTTTAATATATAAATATAGGACTTGCCTCCCAGGAACACAAACTGTAGTTGGGGAGATAAATAAACCCATCAGAAATGTTTCATAACAAAGCAAGAGTTAATTTAAGTAGGGCACCAGGGGCTGAGGTTCAAGACTAATTTCCAAAAGGGTAGCACAGAGGTATTGGTTCTGTAACAGATTCAAATTCATACCCTTTGGTTATTCCGTGAAGCCCATTATCATTCAAATGAGAAAACAGTATTTGTATCCAGAAAGTAATTTTGAACCTTCCTGAAATGTGAGGGCAGCGTTTCCGGGCTGGATGTATAGTAATGACGAATTCCTTGTGTCTTCCCCCAAATCCCTGCCGGCCCCCACGCACGGGATAACCTGTGGTCCAGTCTGGGGTCAGCACCTCTACTCACCCCCACAGGGTCCCAGTTCACACCCGAGAACTACTTTAGAGAAATCTGCCGACAGCCACATCACGTCCCTGAAGGAAACAGACTTTTCATCAACTTAACCTATGCAGCAATTTAAGGAAGGGAAGACTGTAAACCCATCTGGAGGTACTATGCACATCTACATCTACAGGCTGCCAATAAGAAACCTGCAGTCTTTTATTTATTTTAGTGATGAGTAGTTACAGACTGGCATTAATGCCCTCTAAACTTATGTGCAATATTCTATAGGCTCTAGAAATATAGAAGCTATTTGCTAAAGATCTGGTTGCTTTGGTTCTTTGGGGTTATTTAATGCTTTTCAAAGAAGAAAGTGAAACATGGTGGCTATTGATGCAAGCAGAACTATAATTAGAATAGCCTGTCTGCTGCCTCCTTTTTTCTAGTTATAAATAGCACACAAGTCCCTGCTACATTTCAGAGGCCCCACAGGTTTATATTGTAACAGAAAAAGAATGAAAGAACTTCCCTAAGTTTTGGGGTAGAGAGAAGACCTGCTTTTGCAGTATTGTTGCAAATGCATCCATGTTTATCTAGCTGACCTGAGGCGCCTCCACCTTGGGAGGGACACCTTAAGCGCCACACACACACACACACACTTTTCTCCTGTAGCTTTTCTATTCAGAAAATCTCGAAGCTCCTGCAATGCAGAATCTAAAGGAAATCTTTGACCTCATTCATCACTTGTATGCTTATTTTTCTAAACAGTGTGTTCCAAGTAAAAAATTTAAAATCACTTTCAGAATATCTTAGTTCCTCGTTACATGGTATCACGTCTGAACAAAAACAATACAACCCTTCTTCAGAAACAGTGACACAAAAACTGTCAACTGTGAGTGACACTGTAATGAGCCCATGCAAGGAGAAGGCGCAGTGAGAGGTGACTTTATCACTTTATCCCATAAATGGGCAAATGGGAACATTTTAACATCCTCTCTCCTGAATTTGCCTTAGCTGGGACTAGCTTTGGGAAAGTTTTAGTTTAAAAGAGATTTTGGGGGAAAAAAAAAAGATGAAAAATAAGGAAGGAAATGTTTAATCCAGTGCACTCTCCCTACCAGTAATAGTTCCTCTACAAAAAACTTCTTAGGTTCCTTCTATAAAATGTTACACCACACAGAACACAATATTTGATCAGTGTTACAGTACTTAGGCTAAGTGGTTGAAATAAATGAAATAGAAAGAGAAAAATTCCATGTTTTTTCCAGGAGTTAAAAGTTTGAACATCAAAATATGCATTTCAGTTCCTAAATGTTCAAATTGTATACTTCAATGGAAAATTGTATTTTTTAAAGATTCACCTCCTCAAAATTTGATACACAATTCAAAGCACCCTGGGCAAATGAAAGAGAATAAAAGTTACATAAAGAGTGTTGAGCTTGAAGGAAATAACGTGGATGGAAACACTGGCCAGGGGAAACTTAAAGCCATTAATAATTCCCTAAAATTATGACAGCTACTGATTTTAAAGAAATCATTCTGTGCTTGCCTCTCACCTCTAGGAGGTCTTGAAGGCAGAAAAACCCAGTTATTTCAAGATGCCCAGGTGTCCAGTCATAAAAAACCCTAAGCTCAAGGAAGGACATTCCACACATGCATACCTTTGTTTTTCATTTATTTTTATAAGCTTATTAAATCCATTTTAAAATTTATAAAGTTGAGCATAGGTATTTATCATTAATTTTTTTCTCAGTCACTGAATGTAAAAACACCATCTCCCTTGGGTTACAGTCATAAAATTTTTCAATATTGAAAATATTCACTGTATTCCAGAAGACTGAAAACAAGAGGCCACAGTGATCAGGTTTTATGCACAGATTATTGTTTCTTGGTATTGATGTGCGGCTTGTAGAAAAAAACTTTATCTCCTTTATTCCTTAAATTTCACCTGAATACGTTGTGCATTTTTGTTGCTGAGTAATTAATTTGAGAATGTTTTTAACCCCCAACAACTGTGGCTTTTTAGATATTGGGATCACAACAGTGAATGAATCCAGTGTAAAATAAATTTTAAAACACACGGTATATATGGGAAAGTAGCCAGTGTTATGGAAGGAGAGCAGGACAGCAGGAAATGGGGTCAGGATGTGGTGTGAGGCAAAAGCTCCACAGGGTGGTCAGGGAAGGTTTCGGGGGAGGGGGCAGAGACCAGGGAGAGGTGGATCAGCGCAGGGAGAAAAAGGCAGGTCCCAGGCAGAGCACCCAGCGGGAGACAAGGGAGCAAGGTGGACGCGGAGGAAGAGAAAATGGAGAGAGAGCAGCAGAATTTAGTAGCACCTTGTGAAGGTGTTTCTGACAGTTCCCCGTTCCACGGAGAAATTGTTCACTGATAGAAAAATCCTGGAGGAAAAGTTACTGAATATACCTGCCCAAATCAGAATTTTTTGTTTTTAGACTAGAGAGTTATTAGCATTTCAATAGTATTCTGCAAGGCAAACATTTGTTTTGTAGTCTTACAACTTTTTATCCGTACACACTGAGCCTGAACTCAGGGTTCTGCACTGAGCTACACTCCCAGTGCTTTATTTTTTTAGTTTAAGACCGGAACATATTAAGTCAATAAATTGCCCAGGCTGAGCTCAAAACTTGTGAGCCTCCTGCTTCAGCCTCCCAGAACCCACAGAGTATAGATATGCACCAGCATGCCGGGCTCTTGTGAACTCTCATTATTATGTCTAATAGATTTTTTCATACTATGAACAGAAATGTAAGTTTAAATTCATTTTCAAATTATACCAAAGTTTACTGGCTATAATCTGAGTGGACAGTTTTAATTTTACATAAAGTATGAAGCAAAAATGGTAAGTATACTAAAATAAGACTTTAGAAATATGATTATCAAACAATGAGACTAATTCCATGGGACCTTCTTGAGGATCACTTATTGTTTTATTTTGCATAATTAAATTTGAAAGATTTATAATGTTTGTGTATTACCTTTAAAATGTGGATTTACACAAATTTACTTTTTCCCTCTCTTACAGGAAAATATACGTGCAAGAGTAAGTACATTTTTAATTGACCCTCGATAATTGTACTTATTTGTGGCATGCAATTTGATGTTTTTATACATGTGTTGTATATTGATCAAATTAGCAATGGTTACACCAAATGCTTTTATTAAAAATAATGAAAATCAAATATAAAAATCCTGGAGGAAAAGTTACTGAATATACCTGCCCAAATCAGAATTTTTGGTTTTTATAATCAAATATATTTCTTTTAATAAACAAGTCAAGTTTGTGTATGTATTTATCCCATTTTGACACATATGATTTCATATTACTTTATTACCAATTTGTCTGAAATACTCTTACATATTAAATTATCACTTATATCTTACTACATATTTTAGAAGAATCCTAATTTATAATTTATTTAAGTAACTCTCAGGAGTTGTTAAATTAATGCCTTTAGGAATCCTTGTGTGTCCAAGACAATTTTTCTTAAAGCCAGTCTCAGTCTTTAAAACAAGCTCAAACTAATGGCATGATTTTGAGAGTTAAAAGACTAATAATAAACAAGAAAAACTTCCTTATGCATGATAGCAAAATACTGGATTTTATCTCTATTTTGGATTCTTGTATGATTTATGGGAAAAATCATAGATACAGATGGCATAGAAATGACATATTATGATGATATAGATGATTAGTAAGAAGTTATTTTATAAAAACATATATACACATACTCTGGAAGACGTCCAGTTTTCTAGAAACAACACATGTCTCGCCTGTTTAATACTGAAAGAACGATACTGACTTAAATTTAAACTCAAATTTACTAAAACTTTAAAGGCACATGTTTGGTTCAACATGATCGACAGCTCTCCAAGGTCCTGAGTTTTTATGTGTGCGTGTGTGCGCGGCCCAAATGCATTTTAAACTCCTGAGCGTCTACCTCAAGGAATATAAAATGTACACATGTAAGTCACAAATACCGGCACACACACTTCAGCACAGGGCAGCCACGAGGAAGGAGAGAATCCCAGGTACAAGGGAGGCATCGGGCATCATCCTGGAAGCCGATGTGCTGGACCTCAGCTGAGTTGAAGCTGATTTTTGAGGAGTCAGAGGAGACGCCCACGTTATAACCCTTTTGATCTTTTTTTTAAAAAAAGACAATACCCGACTGGCCGACCCGCTGTGGCTCGATCCGTTTGGTGGTTCTGATTTCCGAGGCCTGATGCGGGTTCCCCTCGGTGTCCAGCCCCTCGTCCCCTTGGTGTGCAGCCCGCGTGCCCGGCTGGTGCAGCGGTTGGAGCTCACGGAGCGGGGTTAGGGGGACCTGGTGTCCGCGATTTCTGCTCAGGTTTCCATTCCCGAGCTCAGGACTCTGTAACCCAAAGGCCGGTAGTGCGGAGGGGCACGGCGAGGCCAGCGGGAGCGCTGTGCGGGCACAGACGCCTGCCGCCCAGGCACTGCGGGCCGCGTGGACACCAGCTCTGCTGCCGCCCCGGCCTGCGGCCAGCGCTGGCTCTGCCCCTTGGTAACCGGGCCGCACGCCCGGAGCTGGACGTGGAGGAGGACCGAGCACCGGGCTGGCTGGACAGCAAAGCGGAGGACCGGGAGACTCGGCCCCCACCCACCCCGGGCCTCACCCTGGACGCTGCTGCTCCTGAGGGCGGAAGGCCGGTCCAGCTGTGCCGAGGGACGGGGCCAGCGTCCGCCAGGATGAGAGGTGGACTCAACCAGTCCGCGGTCCGCGCTGACAGCACGTGAAAATCCTTGGTGTTTTCCCCTCGTGTATTTTGAAAAAGATCAAGTCAGTGATATTTGTCATTTCTAAAATGCTTACTGTGAATTATAATCTTATAACACGAAAGCTAGCAGCATCAAAGCGACAAGAGTCCTGGAATCCCCGCAGGAGGGTCCCCCAGAAAGCCTCCACCAGGGCCTCTTCCAAAGGGAAGGGGTGGGGGGTGCGTAATGTCAACCTTAAAGCTTTCAGAAATCCAGCATTCTGTTGTTTTCCTGTTTCATCCTTTCTACGTATGCGCCCTGACCCTTGAGTTCCAGGGCTCTGTTACTGTTAGGTTACTTTCCCTCCTCTGTATTTTTAATACTATCAAAGAGACCCTGCAAACTAAAATAAAAATGAGGACAGGAGGGTGACTGTAATCATGTCCCAGACGTAGACACCGTCACACCGTCACATTGCAGTGTCTCTTGTGTCACAGAGAACTGTACACACACACACACACACACACACACACACACACACATACACGCTCCTGGGTGTCCATCTGCTGCCTCATACAACTGCTCATCGTGGACAGCTTTCCAGGTCAGCAAACGTAAATCCACGTTTTTGTATAACCGCATAATATTCACTCTGACCTGTGCCTTACCTCACTTTACCAAGCCTTTCCTGAAAGCTGCTGAATTGTGTGTCTTGCAAACATTGTTGCCATGTGTGCACTTGGGTACATAATTTTTTTAACCAGTAATCTGATTATTTTCTTTGGAAAGATTGTTAGATCAAATGGCTGCTGATGACTTTTTCAGAAATTTCCCAAAAGCCAGGCTAATTTATATTCTCATTATCCACATAGAGTTGTCCATTCATCTACCACTGCCAACCTGGGTGCAGTTAATATTTGTATCTTTATGCTGTTGCAACATAACAGGCCCAAAGTGGAATTCTGTTGTTTCAATTTCCATTCCTAATCATCTTGAGCATTTAACTGTAATTCATGCTAATGAAGAATCTGTTTAAGTACTTGTTCACTTTTACTGGTACTCCTCTTCTAACAGATCGATAATGTCTCTGATTAGCAAATACTAACCCTTGTCCATCTTACACACTACAAATAAGTTTTCCATCTCAGCTTACTTTCAGCCTGGTTTATGGCTGTTCCTGGTTTTGTTATTATATGTGAAGTTTTAAAGAGCTAAATTTTTAATAGATTTATGCCTGTTTGGTTTTATGTTTTGGTTAGTCATTTTAAAATTAGGATTTAAAATGCAATTCATGTTTTCTTCAAGTTCTTGTATGCTTTTTTTCTTTACTGCTTTTGCTTTTCTTCTTCCTCCCTCCCTTCCTTCCTCACTTCTTTCCTTCCTTCCTTCCTTCTTTCCTTCTTCCTTTCTTCTCTCTCTGTCTCTGTCTCTCTCTGTCACTGTCTCTGTCTATTTCTGCTGAGAATTGCACCCAGAGTCTTGTGCATGCCCAGCATGTGTCTATCACTGAACTATACCCCAACCTCCTATGCATTCACTTTTAACAATTACACATCTGTTCTAAAATTATTTTGGTATAAAGAATGATGTAGGAATTCATTTTTATTTTTTGCATAATTCTAGCTATCACAACACTTGATACTGAATAATAATTTTCCCACTGAATATGAATGCCATATTAAACGTACTCAGTTTCCATAATATTTACACTTATTTCTTTATTTTTCATTTTTGCTACTCATTTCTCCAAGTATATGAACCAGAATTGCTTTCATTTTTCTAGCTTTAAAATATATCTTACTATTAGGTGTGACTTAGTCTCAGCTCAGTACTTTACTTTTTCTGAATTTTCCTAAGAATTCTTATATTTCGTCTTTTTAAAGACTGTTCTTGAAAAAATTATATATCCTCATCTTAGTTACTTTTTTCATTGGTGTGAATACCTGACACGCAAAGTTAAAGGAGGCAGGGTTTATTTAGTTCACAGTCTGTAGATGTTTCAGCTCAGAGTTGGCTGACTCCAAGGCAGGGTGACATGGCCGCGGGGCATCACATCACAGAGGAGAGACAGCTCATGGCAGGTATGAGACAGCAAAAGCAGCAAGTGACAACACTATGCTCTTTTCACCCTTATATTTTATCCAGGCTGCCTGCCCTGAGGGTGAGGAATCTTTAAACCTACCTGGAAGTATGCCAAACCAATCAGTAAATGGATGGCACACCTTTGGCCCTAGCACTGCACGCTCTAGACCCAGCTCCCTCTGGAAAGCCCCACCTGTGACTACATGAGGCTTTGAGGGGATATCTAGACATAAACCATAACACTTTCTGATTTTAGGAGGCAAATAGATCTATGATACTTGTTAAAAATGGCAATGTGTTCTCCTAGCTGCAGCAACTACCCCTCACCAGAGCACATTATTTTCATGTCTTTAGTTCACTATTTTGGCATTTATTTACATACTCTAAAAATACTTTTTAAATACTGTCTACTGATTTTCCCTTGTGGTAGACAAGAATTTCTATCTGTGTCCTATCAATCTCCAACACACTCAGATACATGCACACACACACACACACCACCACCACCACCACCACCACCATTCCAACATCTCTGTCTATACTACATTACATTATAATTTTGTATGTAACAATCCACGATTGAATTGTTACATTCTATCATTCTATCTGGGTAAATTTCAGAGTTGAACCTTGGAGGAAATGAGTTACTTGTTCTTATGGGAGTTAATAATTGTCATTTGTCCTCTTCTGCTTCCTCTAATTTGTTTCTTAGTTTCTTTGCACTCATCATTAATATAAAACTCATGGTGAGTTAATTAAATCATTTTCCAGCTTAACTTGATGCTTGGTGTCTGCTGTCAATTTCATCTCCCTAAAAGTCTCTGTAGCCACCTCTAACCTGCAGTAGATGCTGAACACAAGTGTCCTGTAGGGGCTCCTCTACCCACTCCTAGAGATTTTCTTTCCCCTCTCCTGAGATGGTTCCCCTTGTTTTGGTGGGAAATGTCCTTCAAACAATTTCCTCCATCCCTCAAAGGATGCACTGCAAGTAAGTTTTTCAGAACTGTTATACCCAAATACCTTTATTTTATCCTCATACGTGATTAATAGTTCAAGTAGGAATAGAGTTATACATGGAAAATCTCTTATCAGAATTTAAAGGTAACCATTTCCTAGCTTTTGGTGTTAGGAGCAATCTGAAGTCCATTTCGACTCCTAACCCCTTGCTGGTGTCTGTCTCCGATGGATGGTGGGCCTGTTCTTTGTCCCCAGGACTGCCTGTCCCATGACCTGTAAAGTGTGACACCCCCTTCTTCCTGGACACCCGGTGCATTCTATTAATCAGATCACTCATGCACTTTCCTTAAGTTATTTCACTGACCCTTTCTTCCTCTTTGTCCTGTTCTCTCTTTCCGGGAATCCTATTGTTAGATATGAACTTTTTAGGCCATTTCTCTACTTAGATTATTCTTCTATTTTCTAGCCCTTTATAATTTTACTCTTCTCTCTTGAAAATTCCTATACATTTTCTCTGACACTTGTGAGTTTTCTTTTTCCTTGCTATTATCTTTTTAATTTCCAAGATTGGTTTCTTAGTCCTACAAAGGAGTTCTTCATTCTTATAGGAAGTGTCTTGAACAAGTTGTTGACTGATCATTCTTCCTGACCTCCAGTCCTTCCTGTGACACCCCAGCCCTTCCTCCTCCCTCCACCCACGGCAAGTGACTCAAATTAATGCAACTCTAGGAGGATCAAATATCACCTGCCCTCATTCCTGATGCTGGCTCCCTGCTATCCCATTCATTCATCTTCTGAAATTTGTTAATAGTTCCATATTTTCACAATTATTATTTACTTACAACAAATGCTATTTGTGTAGCAATATATAGTTTCCTGTAAAGTAGAAGGAAACAAATTGAAAAAGATCAGTAATAGTAGAATTGTCTGTGGTTACTTTAAAATACTAAATTTAGGATATTTGTGGTCACAAAGAGGAGAAAATTCAAGTAATATGGTCAATAGTTACATGATTATTTTTCCTTTTATGTCTCTAATTAAGATATACATATATATGTCATTTATGCTTTCATTTTGCGACATTTTTCTTGTATGCAATGTGAAGCTTTTTGCACCAAAACTTGTTGTGGCTTAAACAAGGCCATTTGTGTGTACCTGATTTTGTAAAGTTTCCATCATCATTTGTAATGAGATTATGTACTACTTATGATAAGGCAGAACAAGATGAAATGCAGTTGTGAATGAATAACCACCTTACTTTTCAGCCAGATATACATGGGAATTGTTACACATTTGACTACTTACTGAGGTGTAGGAAGCTGCTATCGGACTCATCTCCCTCATGCAGTTATCAGAACTTAATCTTACTGGGTGGGATTAGACGGGCAGACTTCATGACCCCCAAACCTTATCTTCTAACACATCCTCTATCTTCTCTCCCACCTTGCATGTCTGTCTGATGCACATTCCGCAGCATCGCTGCTCATCACATGGGCAGCTGTGCTCCTTGTATGTCTGAAGACAAACGTGCCCGGGTAGCTCTCATTTTTCTAAAAGATGTTCTGGAGCATGTGTCTTTGGTTCTTTTAAAAGAAACAATGATCACATAATTGCTATTATTGTCAGTTGCAATATAAAAGGAAGCCAATGGAGTTGCAGACAAAAGTAATAACGACATCTGAACACAATAGAGGGTCTGCGTTGGCTTTGTAACCGTCTCAGTAAGGCAGATGGGTGAAGTTCAAAAATGTGTGCAAAAGTGAGTTTCTTCATGTGTGCATATGCACACACAAGCATAATAGATTATTATAATAAATTATTTCACTAAAGTTGGATTTTCTTTATTGAAATATTTGATTAGATTTTGACACTATTTTCAGTGATTCCCAAAAGATTAAATAAATGATTGTTTGATGACAATCTAGAAAAAATAAAAAGAAATTCTGGCCACAGAATTTCAAGACAATATAATGTATTCTACCTTCCTGACTTGCTTTTTATGTAAGGGAACTCTTTCTTTTGAAGTGTACAAACTGCTGTAACGTGGAACAACAAAATTTCAGTATCCATAATCAACTTACATTTTTTCATCAACTGTACTCAGTTCTTTTGAAAACTAACAATCAGTTACTTTCCTCTTCCCCTCTCTGATTGTCTCTCTCACTCGCTCCCTCCCTCTCATTCTCTTTTCTGACCTTACTTAACCCTCTCTCCAAAAACAGATGTGAGACAAAGGGATAGGAAATATAAAATAACATATTAAGATGACTTTTTTACTACCCTGCAAATTTTTAATATTTATCCTGGTTTCCCCTAAAAAACATTGCTTTCTAGTTTGCTCCACTCAGTCTCTGTGTGTTGTGCCACTGTGGCTTTCTCAGCATGTGAATAAAATTCCTCTGTCATTTATTCAAACACTGTGAAATTTCTTAAAGGAAAGTTCACTGTGAAATAATAGCAAACAGAAAATCTGAGAATGTGACCGTCTCAGCCCACAGTTATGCACTGAGAGAACACGGAGGTTACGGTGAGGACAGCAGTGACAGAGACTCATCATAACCTGTAACTAGGGGACCGAGGCGATCCCGGATAGTGCTAAGTGCTACATTAAGAATCACAGGGGAAGATGGAATAGAGACAGGTGTGTGTGCGCATGCCTGTGTGTGTGTGTGTGTGTGTGTGTACAGACACCATGATAACGTTCTGTAGTTCCTCGGGTGTTAATGGGAGAGTTCAATTAAATGGTTTTTAAGATGCCTTCAAACCCTTTGTAATGATGCAGTTTTCTAATTTCCTAACTGTTCAGCATTGTTGTATCTTTTTTACATGGCCCACAGTCTGTCCACACTGTCCACACTTCACTTTTCACCTGAAAAGTGAGAGTGTGAAAACTGCACCTTCTGGGATTTGAACACCGTATCTGCGTTTCCCACCGCTGTGTCCTGGTTTGTCTGCTTGCAGAAGGAGGCTTTGCAGTTGCTTCTCTGGCTGAAGGGTCAGTGGCAGTGGCCGGAACATTATAAATGCAGCTCTCCCACCTGGTGGAGGAGAGAGGACACTGTTTTCTTTCAAGTATACTCTGCTGGTCACTTGTTTAGATTTTTTAATTATGTGCTTATTTTCCTCACTAATATTCCAAAAAAGAATCAAGAGGAAAGTGTTTTTCTTGGTTGTCATGGAAAAAACATTCTGAAGTTGTTTCCCACGATATGATAAAATCAGTTGTGTGTGTGGATGTGGATAGAACTGAACTATATGTGGCGTGTGGATGGGTGGATGGGTGGATGGTGGATGGGTGGGTGGATGAAAATCGTACTTTTGGGTGAACAGATGTATTTGTTTTCTATTTTCTTTAGTAGTGGGGTCTTTCAGTCTTGCTACTGTCATGTTTTGCTCTGGCTTTCATTTAAAAACTTTACTTAGCCCAGTGGAGAAGGGAAAAGTGAGCCACCGAGTTTGAGGAGGAATCATTCCCCGCTCCCCACCCCCTGCCAAGTCACCAGATGGAAAGAAGCCAAGCGCAGCACTGAGGTCTCGCTCTCTCCTGCAGGGGCAAACCGAACCTCCTGGACATGGGCTCGCTCATGATCCGGCCCATCCAGCGCCTCATGAAGTACCCGCTGCTGCTGGTGGAGCTGCGCAACGCCACGCCGCCCGCGCACCCGGACTGCCGGCCGCTGGAGGAGGCCTGCGCCGCCGTGAGGGCCATCAACGTCAACATCAACGAGCTCAAAAGGAGGAAAGACCTGGGTAGGAGCTCGGCCGGCCGCGCGCTGCCTGGCCCGGTCACAGGTCCGAGCGCACGGAGCAGTGCAGGGAGCCGGCTGGGGCTGCCGCCCAGGGCGCAGCCAGGGAGGGCGCCTCGGGGCTTTGGCCCTGATGGAGGGTTCCAGAAGATCCAGAAGCCAACAGCCGGGCTCAGAGCCTCAAGATCGCGGAACCTGTGTGTACTTGGGGACGTGTTAAAGGCTGGAGACGCCATCACACGCTCTTCCCATCGTCGGCCAGTGCGGGAAGAGGAGGAGGGGGAAACTGGGGGAGGATAGGGACAGGACAGTGAGGGGGAGGAGGGGAGGACGAGGAGGACAGGGAGGGCATGGGCGACACTGGACCTCCGCCTCTGCACCTGCCCAAGGAGAGTGCTAGGCGCTGTGTCCACCTCTTGAGCACATGGACAAGAAACTGATTTTCTGGGCCTCTGGTGTGTGTGCCCTCAGCTCTGAGAACCATGGGAGAGTTTTCTAGTATGAAAGGATTTCCTTAACAATGGAGGTAAATTGGTCCTGCTCTTGAAGGGCTGAGGGTCTCAGGCTCCCACATGGACGGCCGAGACAGAGGGGCGCGGGGCTGGGTGGGAGCAGCTGTGCGCCAGGCTCGAAGCGCCCACACTTTCATCTTGAGCACAGATGGTGACCTCGGAGACTTAGCACAGCCTTTCTGTGCTGCCCTTGCAGAGGTCCATTCTGGCCTTCTTCCCTTTCAGTGCTCAAATACAAGAAGAACGATGAGGACGAGTCACTCAAGGACAAACTGTCCAAACTAAATATCCACTCAATTAGCAAGAAATCAAAAAGAGTGACAAATCATCTCAAGATTCTGACCAGAGGGGAATCGCAGGTGGGTTCTCTCACCCCCGCCCCCAGGGAAGGTGGGCGCTGTCATTTTGGGGAGGCTTTGCTTTGTGTTACCAGGGCTATGTCTGCAGCACTGAGACTCAGAGGCCTTGCCCTGTGTGTGTCCCCCTGTGTTCTCTCTCGGTGAAAATGGAGACAGGTGGTGTTGACCCTCTTAACAGTGATGCTTCCCCTGAGGATGCTGACAAACCAGGATGCAGGGCGCCAGAGCACCCAAAAGTCCTGACCCCACCTTCCACCAGTCAGTCTCTCAAGATGTCCTCTGTGTTATCTTTGTTTTACTTCTGCTTTTAGAATTTTGCTTTCCTTTAGGGTTCCCTTGATGTTCATTTCATCTTTATTTCACTTTAAAAAAAAAAAAAACAAAGTATTGAAACGAATAACTTAGCGCAGTGTTTTCCCTGCCTCTTCCAGCCTGCCGGGCTCCCCAGGTGCACATTAGGTTAGCAAGTAGCTGTTTGTCGTCAGCCATTAAGCAGGGCTTGAACCGCTTTCATCTCAACCCCAAATAAATAATAGATGGGTTGGCAGAGGCTCATAAACTTTAATGTGCTTAAGAAGAATCACCTGTAGGGCTGTGGAAAGCAGATTTGGGGGTGAGGATGGGATTATCTTATTCATAGGTGCAGCCTAGAAGTCTGGTTTGTTGTTGTTCGCAAGCATTCTGGGTGTTTTGCTGTTAATGATCTTGAAGTGAAAGATCAGTGGAGCAGATTGGCAATCACAGGATAGAAAGTTCCCGGACCTGGCTTGGTCCTACAGAGAGCTTCTCACTGAAATCAGGAGAGCTCTGAGCTTACTGTGCCGCCCTTATTTCCCGTCCTCCTCCTTTGCTTGGTCAGCTCTTCCTCGGTTAACATCGCTAAGACTTTGAGTCTGAAGCATTTGTTTTAACTGTTTTCTTCTGTCTGCCTTACTGTTGAGCTGCTCGGGTCTTTGTCCTTTTCTTCTGTTAAGTCTTTCAGCTTTCAGACCATAAAGTAGGAGTGGCCTCCCTCCCTTGAATGTTTAGTAAACTTACTCTCTCTGTGTTCCACTGTTGGCACCGCTCATGTTTGAAAACACCACCAGAAGGCAGGTGGGAAGGGCACCGCCTTAGAAATGATCTAAACCAGGGTTTGAACCCCACCTCTGCTACTTATTAAATATTTGTCCTGGCACACATGGCTTAAATTCAGTGGAATCATGTGTTATCAGGGATTATACTAGGACCTCACACATGGGATGGCTGTGACAATTAAATGAGGTTATGTACATATATATATACACAGCACGCCCTGATACAATGTATATACATTCAGTAACATTATCATAATTCTTTTAAGTCATTGCTTTTTATTGTTGTTTAACTTTGAATGTGTGGATGTGCTAAAGATACAAGCTTCACACATGGTGCCATCATGATTTTACTGTCTGTATTTTTATATTTTGGCATAAAATATCTTTCAGGAGACACATCCCCTCCCAGGGCTGGACAATTCTTAGAGACAAGGAAATGGCTCACAGTACAACTTTCATAAGCAAGCCAGCCAATCCCAAATCTACAGCCCACCCCCTCCTTACCTAGCATTTACACACTAGTGTTATCTTTGCTCTGAATCATCCCAGGGCCAGAGACCAACACTATATCCCTGAGCCCGTGGAAACATTCCAAGTAATCCTAAACTGCCTACTCTCACCTACCAACACAGGCTCTGGCCTAGACTTTCTCTTCCTTCCTATTTTCTGCTATTTGTTTAAAATCTGGAGCTTCCGTTGTGAGCGAGTGATGATCCCTCGCTGAAACCTGTGAGTATAATGTATAATTCTTTCCAAATCTTATCCTTATTTTCTTTTGTGGCTGCACTGATTTTACTGTGCAATGCCAACATATATGTTCTTAGAGTTATGGCTTGTATCATGCTTTCATTTGCATCTTTGTATCCTTAGGGGGTTGCTAGGTCCATCTCATATAAGAAGCTGCTTCTACTAATGCAGAACTATAATGTCTGAAGTTTAGGACATTTATGGAATAAGATCACACATCAGAGAAAGGACACTCAGAATGACATTTCAACTAAAAACACCAGTAATAAAAGCCAAATTGGGAATTTAAGAAGAGATTGTAGTCCCAGGAGTGTGTATACATGTCATGCAAACAATTCTCTACTCTTCGGAATTTTGCCTCTGAAGGAAAGCAATTCTATTGGGAAACAATAGTCAGGTTCTAATTTTAGACAAGCTTTTGTGTAAGCTGTTAAGTCCTTTAACACGTTTGTCATCAGCTTCTTATATTTTTCAGTTGCAAACTGAAAATGAATTGTAGTTAAAATAGCCGGAAGGGATATTAATTAGATTTTCCCCTTAATCTTTTTAGAGAAATGTCCTGCCAGCAATGAAGCATTTCACTTTTAATCAGAAAATCAGCTGCATAGGCTGGACTGGAGAAGAGATAAATCTCAAATCAATCAATTTTGCTCTTGTCAGCAGCTCGAGTGAAATATTGGTAGAGTTAGGGTACAAAGCTATTACCCAAGAGGAAGAGTCTTTTCAATTCATCATATGTGTATTGAACTCGCACATACCAGATGGTGTGAGAGACTGAGCATGCAGAGATGATCGCGGGGAGGTTCTAAATTCAGGCTGCTTGGTTTGTAGCCTGGTCTTACCCATTAATATGGGTAAGTTCTCTAACTCTTTTTATTTAAGTAAAGGTCATGTATCTGTCATAAAAGGATCCAAAGCACAGTTGTGAAGATCAGGTGGTCATTCATTTCTCTCCCTAACGATAGTCCTGATGTGTGAACAGATGGGCCCTATTCCATAGGAGCCTTCTTGAACCCAACATTGTATAGTGCTTTTCCCAAATATTGCCTTCATCTTCTTGGCTGAAGCTGGGTCATTTCCATGTCTTCTTTCATGTCCCAAATTCAGTGTTACAAGGCCAAGATTTAGAAGTGGAACATAATGCTTCAGTCACACTCTACCTGCCCAGCTGTGTGAGTAGAGCTAGCTGCAAGGAAGTCTAGGAGATGTAGTTTCCTAACCAGCCAGCATGCACTGTACTTAAACTAACAGGATGGGTTATATCAGCAAGAATACAGCGGGGGATATTGACAGTCTCTGGTACACATCCAAAGCTTCTGTTTCTTTATCTGTAAAGTGGGATCAGTCATAATAAGTACCATATAGGGTTATATAAGAAGGAGAAAATGGAAAAAAAGGTTTGAGTGCCATGTCTGGAACCTATGAGTGTTATAAGAGCACATTAGGAAGAATAAATGGATTTTATCTGTGGTGAGAAGAGTAGCATTGGAGGTGGCATTCATACAGGGGTCGACATGGGGCTGGTCCTTGAAAATGCTTATTTATTAAAGTCACAATTGTGTAAGGTAGAAAAAGAACAATTACATATTCCAGGAAAACAGTGTGACCAAAGCTTGTACATGGGGAAATAGAAATTGGCAATATTTCTTGTCCCGTGATCTTTGAACCTGCCACTTTAGAATCATCTGAATTCCAGCCAAGGTATATAAAATAGAAGACAATATCTCATGGTGGTCCTGGGATGCTGAGTTTTAAAAAATATACCCCAACGTATTTTAATATACATCAGACTACATTGGAGCATAGAGACTTACTGATTTTAGAGCAAATCATTTCCATGTCCATTTCCATGGAAAGATCAGGTAAGATTTATAAAACCAAGAATTATGGATTTTGTGTGAATTACAAAGAATTGTATTTAATCAAAAATTTTCTAGACAATTATTAAAAGGTTTAAAAATAAATAAAATTATATCATCTCCAGCCAGTCAGTTCTAAGGTCAGCTGTGTGAAGTTAAGAAACGTTTGAACCAAGAGCTGCAGCTATTAGCCAGTGCTAAACTAAACAATTTGTGTCCTATTCCATTGGACATTTGCATATTGGATGCTTTCACCAGCATGAGTCTGGTTTCTTGTAGCCATTTTGATTGCTAAAAACTCATGTTTGCTATCAGTCACAATAGATGTGTATCCTTAAAAATTGTCAGTAGTATATACAAGTATGTTTTTCTGAATGTCAATACATGTAATATGAGGAAAAAAATACCTGAACATAGGTGATCACTACCTTAATTCTGCAGATTTATCCTAACAGAAGGACTGAGATTACACGTGAGGACTCAAATTTGAAGTGATAAAAATAATTTGAGGTGATAATTACCACATTTCTTTAGCCATGGACCTAAGAATATTTTAAGTACGGAATAAACTGGAGTGCCATAGCAAAACCTGTCAATGATCAATTACCTATCTTGTAAAGTGCACATATTACTATCATTTTAGTTCAGAAATTATATATGCTGCTGAAAACTACAGAGAATGGTTTTATAATCCCACAGCTACTATAACATAGGTGAAGCCATGTGCAAATGAACACCACCAGTTGCTACTGCCTGATGTGGTTTTATGACACTAGTGGGACATGCAGTGGTTGTGTGTACCAACCCAGAAGGTATTGTGAGACAATAGTCCGCTTTTGCCAGAAGGCTTTCCTAGCAACAGGGAATTTTTTGTGATGTTCTGGGTCTTTATCGGCTATACCACTTTTTAAGTACTAGGTTCATTTGAGTTGTGAAAATAATTTCATATGTATTTTAGGTGAATGATACTACCTTTAACAAAGAAGAAAAGCTATTCAGATGTTTAGAAAAAACCGTGAGGCAATGTGTGAAGAACATCTCGTTCTGTCTTCAAGACATACAGGTAGGTGAGACACGGCGTTCTCAGTGTTCCAAAAGCGTGCATCTGTTTCCGTGGCTGTAGTGGGGGTAAATGTGACTGTTCCACGTCATGTTGCTGATTGTAGCAAATTTGGAAGGCTGCAAACCACTGGCAAAGGAAGCCAGCAGAAGGCTTGGGCTGTGCCCGCTCCCCACCACCCTCTCTCTACTCCAAACTGCCGTATTCTGGAGCTCTCACCCCAATAATTGCACGTGGACCATCAGCCTGTTTGCTTTGTAACAGAGATGAGTTCATTAATGCTGAACTGTACGTGAGGCAGAAATTGTGTCATGCATACGATTTTACTGTCACCTCACTTCCTAGCACCTGAGATTACTATGACAAAAAATAGATGGAACTACAAAATAACATCAAGTACAATAAGCAAATGCTCTCACACGTTTACACTGGAAGAAAAATAGACTCCCCAAATGTCTCGTCCCCTAGGAGTTATTCCGAACCCCTCAGGAGCACTGATTCCAGCTCTGCAGTTGTAGTAAAGCACAATAGAAAGGCCAGCCAGGAGCTGGCTTCTCATGGCTCACAGAAGGGGTCACTGCTTCCTTAGCGGCGTCTTGACAGTGGCCGTGACTATGAGACATAGAATGGTAGTAGTGTAACACATAAATCAGCTAATAAAAGGTCCTCTTCATTTTCTGGAAGTTTTTCTTCTGGAACTTGCTTTTAGAAGTGGGTGCTTGATAGAACGGCACACCAGCGGTGGATGAAGATGTTAAGTGCACTAATTCAGGGACAAGGCTCCATGTTCTGTAAGGACAAATACCATTCTGTTCTTACTCACCATCTGACGCAAAGGTGGTTTTACAACCAGGTTTGCTAATCTCTTCCTGAAGGGTTGCGTTTGCGAAAGGCAGAACCCAGGCAGGGTTGTAACAGCTCATGGACCGTGGGAGTGAATGTGCCCCTCAGAGTGAATTCCTTTCGGACATACTCAGCTGAAGGTTTTGTATTTGCACTGATTGATTCCACAAAAATATGAGTATCTCTCTTTTTAAAAAAAATCCATCTTATTTTAAAGATAAAAAGAAAAAGAAAGAAGAAGACGAAAAAAACTACAACAAAATTTCAAAATATGTCAATCAGGGGGCAACAATGGTACATGCATTGCACATTGTCATCCCCAAATCATTCTCCCAGTGCATAAAACATTTGCATTCAATTGTGGGAACAATACCAGCACAAATCTTTCTCTTCAGCAAAGTCAGAGAAATCAGTAGTGTAACTACCTTAACTATTTTTATATACATATATATATACACATATACATATGATTTTCCTTCACTGTCTTATACTAATGAAACAATATTATGTTTGCACATGTGTGTCTTATTTATTTCACTAATGAATATGTTTTCTCAAGGTGCATCCATTTACCTATAAAAGTCACCAGTTTATCCTTCATTATGGCTAAGTAGTGCTCTATTATATAGAAATATGAGCATATCTCTTAAGGACAGTGCTAAACTAGAAGAAACTGATGGTGGAATCCAGAGGATCAAAGTTGACAATAAGTTATCTGAAGGCATCAAATACTAAACAATGGCCAATGAGAGGCTTTAAAGTGGATTTCACATAATCAGGAGCCCTCAGATAGGACATAGGGAGAATGTGAGATGGTGGAAGAGATGGGGCAGATTGTTACAAGTCGCCTGATTGCACGGAATGTGTAGGTGAGATGTGCAGATTCTTGTTTTGAATCTGTCAGGAGAAATGAAATGCTGAAATGATGTCAGGCACATCTGGGGCCTTCAAGGGCACTAACCCAGAGCCTGTGCTTCTGTAACGTCTCTGCTGGTTTTCAGGATGCGCTGCCCTCTGCTCTGCAGAGTGTGACAGAGCTGCGGGAGATGTCACAGCACACAGATGAGGAGGAGCAGGGCTCTACAGAGACCCCAAGGACTGCCCCAGACCCCTGCCACGACTTCGTAAGTTAATCATACGCATGATGCAGCTAAAACAGTGGGCTTAAAAGCTGTTTTTCATTTATGTATCTGGAGTTAGAAAGAAAATGAAAGCAAATACTAAAGTCCAAATTAGATTTTAGTAGGGAATTTTTTAAAATTATTAACTATTCTTAGATAGATTAGTGAGGATTTTGCTATAATTAAAATTTAAGGCAACCCAAGATTGCTTCTGGAGTAGTCAGTACCTGTGCAGCTTTTAAAACAAAGATTTAGCTTAAGTCTGCATAAGAGTCTCCAGGATGCAAGCTGGGGAGCTGTGTTTTTCCAAGAATCTGTACAGGTCTGGAAATACAACTGCTGTCAACACAATGCACTCTGGGCCCCAGAACCAGCTTTCGGAGAAGGACCTTTACTGAGAGTCATGTTATTTCTTCTGTTCCATGATAAAATATTTATTGTCTAAGACTTATGTGAAATATAGCTTGGGAACCATAAAACATGCTTGAATCAGTAAAATAGTTGGTTGGTAAAGTTACCGGGTAATACTAATTTTAACTTAGTGCCTTGTGTTTTTATAGATATAATTACTTTACATTAATTATTATGTAGAAGATATAAAAGACTCTATCATCTTGCAAGTAGCACTTTTTTGTCCTGGCATTATTGGCACTTTGAAGTCAGATGAGTCTTCAGCAAGGGACCCTGGTACTGGAGGATGGTTGCTAATCTTAGCCCCCCCAAGCTCAGTTAAGTCATTGTGACAAGCAATAAACAGACCCACAATTTCTAAACCTCAGGAAGGAGCAAAACCCCCAGTCCACTGCACAATCAGGCAGAAGCACCTTGCTTTTCTGACACTGGGAAATAGAAAATCAGGAATACATCTGTTACAGAGATTGGTCACTCGTGGTTGGAAAGAAGATTGATAAAAATTTTTACAGTGTATGTTTAATGGGAAAAATGTGGCTGATTACTTATTGTATTCTCTGGTTTAATTACAGAGAGCACATTTGAGAAAAGCCCTTAAAGGTTTGCTGTTTAGCTGAATTCAAATTCATTAAGTCAATAAATATTTATTGAATACATTTGAGCACATGTCAAATCAATTTCTCCATAAGGTCACCATTGAATCTTGCCATTGAATTTGATTTGGTTCTTATCCAACTCAGTTTGGGACCAGAATCGTGGAAACAATTAAGTTTGTGAAATGTAGATTTCAAAGAATTAAGTTTGTGCCACTGCAGTGTAAAGCATCTGCATCAGCAAACATGTTCCGTGGCTTGGCAGAAAGACGATGGGGCCCTGTGTAAAACCACAGGATAATTTTTTAGGCTAAGTTAAAATAATTATCAGAAAGCTCAATATAAAAGTAACATTTTGTATATAACATATATAGAACCCTTTTTAAAAAAATGAAATACCAAAGCCAGGTAAAGGCTTGTAATCCTAGCTTGGGAGGCTGAGGCAGGGAGGGTCACCATGAGTTCAAAGCCAGTCTGGGATGCACAGTGAATTCAAGGCCAACCCAAGATGCATAGCAAGAGCCAGATAAAAAATTAATACTATCCTAAAAATTCAAAATCTGTCTACAGGCAGAGCAATCATTCTTATCTAACCATGAATGATATTTACATACACTTTTGTGTAGGACCAAACATTAAAACAAAATCTGGTTCTGTTGCTCTAATGACCGTTCTTATGTACAAACCAGTTCATGTCTATACACCCCTGGAGACAGATGATAAATAGACAGATACATAGATAGATAGACAGATACATAGATAGATAGATAGATAGATAGATAGATAGATAGACAGATACTGTGTTATAGTATTTTTCCTATAGAATCCAGTCATGTCATAACACAGTATATTATACCAGATACAGCAGATAATCAAGCGACTCATTAAACAGTGTGCGGGTGTGTATTGATCACTTCATAAACCAGTCATCAAATCTAATCCAGTGTCAGTAAAAGGTTTCCTCTCTTCTTGATTTCCCTTGAGTTTTGAGTTACCCGGACCATGTAAGTTAATTAATAGAGGCTGCTGCTGAGACGCCGACTTCTGGGCTCACCTTAGAGGGTCCACGGAAAAGCCTGTTTCCACCTTCCCATCACCTAATGTGCAAGCACAGATGATAGATGGTGAAGTAAGGCAATCTGCACGGGTAAGCACTAGTGCATTTCAGAATAAAGTGAGAGGAAAAAGAAAGAGAAGACATTAAATCCAGGTACTTGATGCTGACAACCTGGGATTGGGTGTTCATGCAGATTTTACTCTTGGTGATTCAGACCTAAAAATGTATCAGTTTAAGATCCAGGTGCAGCCTCCACTTAACCCTTCCATGTGTTTAAAGAGAAGGTTTAACTCTGGTCATTTCCGTCACAGTACTAAAGTACCTCTATTAAAACTCACTGTCTCTATCGGGGATGCAGCTCCATTGCCAAGAGGCCTCCAGCGGCCAGGAACTTGGGGTTGTATGGGAGGGATGGGGTTCAGCCTCCCCTACCATGGTCTCTGTCACTGTGGCTATTAGCAGACCAGGGAGTGACATGGGAAGCTTTTGCAGGCTTGGGAGTCCAAGGGTGGAGTATTCATACATGCATGTATGTATATATACTTTTTATCACTTTTCATTACAATGATATCATAAATTGGACTGTATTCACACTCAGTGATTAAAACAACCTTGTGTCAGTCATGATAACAGAAAAACACTGAAACTGGGACATTGGCCCTCCACCCCAGGGGGATCCCCTTGGCTCTGGATAAGGAAGAAGGCAAAGTGCTGACCTCAGCAACCAGCAATGGAAAGTGGGGTTCTGTTTGGGGTGAGAGGCCTTCACTTTTCCGGTTGCTCTTCCAGTTCGATGCAAGTCTCTGGTCCTTGAACAAACTTAGCAGACCCCGAAGTGGTCAGATCCCTGCTGCCTTTCTCCCCGCTGCCCCTCCCTTTGTAACGGGCTCACATCTTCTCTCTCCAGGCAGCTCACCTGCAGCAACGCGTCCTGAACCCGCTGTCAGCCCTGCTGTCCCTGTTCCCCGGGCCGCAGAAGCTCATCCAGAAGCGCTATGACAAACTGCTGGATTACAACAGCTACCTGCAGCGGTCCGCGAGAGCAGAGTCGGACCTGGCCAAAAGGGAATACGAGGCCCTCAATGCCCAGCTCTTGGAGGAGCTGCAGGCCTTCAACCAGGCAGCTCGGACGATTGTGATAAACAGCCTGTGCAGCTTCGTCAGCCTCCTCAGGGATCTGATGCTTGCGGCCCAGAAGGGCTACACCACCATCCTGCCAGTGAGCATGCGTGGTGGTCCTGGCCACCTGGCCAGGGGTCCTCTAGACTGCATTGTACACGGCCAGGCCTGGGCAGAGGGTGGGCAGAGGCGGCGTGGCCGGTTTGCATGTGTCGTTTCAGTAAACCGGTCACTGGTCCTTTGCCCCGGGCTCCCACTTTGAGCTAAAGGATTTTGAAAAGAGCTCAGTTTCTGTTTTAAATCAGCTAAAAGTCTCTCCCACTGCAGTCTATAGAACAGGAGAAAGAGAAGCTTTGTTTTTGAGGACTCATTAATGTACTGGGGTGAAAAGCACTTGGAGAAGTTCAGCTTCATTTAGATGATTTCATTCTCTACGAATGTGTGTGCTATCTGCAGTTTTTGCTTTTGAGATAACTGTAGCTATACATTCACATGCGGTTAAGAGAAGTGACACAGGGCCCCGGGAACCCTTCACAGTTTTCCCAGCAGTAACATATTGCAGAAAGAAAAAAACAAAAGGAAAACAATTTTCAGTGAGCAAAGAGAAACTAGCAGTATAAATGAGACAAATTAGCATGTATCTTAAAATATTTTTTGAAACAGTAGCTTTGTAGTACAACTTCAAATCTGGGATTGTGATGCCTCCTGTCTTGTTTTCGCGGTTACCCAGGATTACTTGTGTTATTCTCCGTCTCTTCTGGTTCTGCATGAAGTCAAGGGTTATTTTCTCTTGATCTGTGAGAAATGTGTCAGTGTTCTCACCAGGGATTGCACTCAATCTGTACGCCAGTTCTGCACGTATAACCATGTGGATGTATTGGTTCTGCCTATCCAGGAATAGGGCAGAGCTTTCATTTTTTCATGTACTCTTGGATTTCCTTCTTCAAAGTGACCTAACTTTCACTGTAGAAGTCCATCACCCACTTAAGTTGATTCCTGAGTCATTTTCATTGATGCTATTGGGAATGGTACTGTTTTCCTAATTTCTTTCTCATTGAATTCATTGGCAGTGTATAGGAATGCTATTGGGATTTTCCTGTTGATTTTGTATCCTGCTACATTGCTAAATTTGGTTATTAATTCTAGGAGTCTTTTAATATAATTTCTTGGGATCTTGCCAGTCAAGAATCATATCATCTGCAAATAATGATACTTTGATTTCCTCTTTTCCAAATATATTCCCTTTCTCTTGCCTGATTGCTCTAGCTAGTATTTCAAGGATGTGTTAAACAGGAATGGGAACAGTGGAATCCTAGTCATGTCACTGACTTTAGAGGGAAAGATTTCAGTTTATCCTCAATTAAAATGGTATTGGCAGTAGGTTGGTAATAAATGGCTTTTATCAGACTGAGATAAGTTCCTTCTATACCTATTTTCTTCAGGGTATTTATCATTAGTGGGCACTGAATTTTTTCAAAGGCTTTTTCTGTGTCTACTGAGTTGATCATGTGACTTTTATCCTTGTTTCTGTCTACCTCATAGATTACATTTCTTGATTTGCATATGTTGAACCATCCTTGCATCCCTGGGATAAGGCCACTTGGTCATGGTATTCGATCTTCGTGATGTTTTGATGCATTCTGTTTATCTGAATCTTATGAGGATTTTTGTATCTATATTCATCTGAAAAATTGTCCTATATTTCTCCTTTTTTTGGATCGATCCTTGTCTGAATTGGAGATCATTGTAATGTTAGCCTCCAAGAATAATTTTAGGAATACTACTTTGTTCTTGATTTTCTTAAAGAGTTTAGAAGTATTGGTATTAGATCTTTTCTATAGTTCTTATAGAATTTGGCAGCAAATCTATCAGGTGCTGGGCTTTTCTTAGTTGTACTAAGAAAGTGTTTTTATTACTGCTCCAATTTCATTGCCAGTAATTAGATTATTTAACATAGTTCAGTCTTCTTGGTTCATGTTTGGTAATTCATATTGGTATCTAGGAATCCCTCCTTTTTTCCTGTTTTTTTTGTTTGGTTGGTTGGCTTTTGGCATAAATTGTTGCAAATATCTCTTCCAAATCTTGCATTCAATTACTTTGAACATATACCCAACAATGGAATTGCTGGATTATGTGATAGTTTTTTTCTAATGTTTCTTAGGATTCAAAGCTCTGTTTTTAATTTTAATGAGTTATACATATGCTTGATTTAAAGATTTAGGTTGTTTATGTAGGTTTATTAAGTTTGATCAAGAAGTTGTCCTTTAATCCCTTTACTCAATTTCTTCCTCTTCAAGGACAACTACTTTTCAATTCTTTTATGTGATTCTTCGTGTTTTAAAATTAGATGCTTGTGGTGCCATGTTCTTAATTTTGGGTTTTAGGAATGATGTATTCTACTTTGAAAAGTGAGAATTTAACTTTCTTTCCTATACCCCATGACACTAGGAAACATCCATTCATACATACATGTATGATATATATACTTTTTATCACTTTTCATTACAGTGATATCATAAATTAGACTGTATTCACACTCAATATTTAAAACAACCTTGTATCAGTCATAATAACAGAAGAAAAAATACAGTACAGTGAAATTGGGAAATTGGGCATTTAGAGAAAAAACTAATATGTTATTTATAAAAATGAGAGTACGGTGTAGGGAAACCATTAGACTGTGCCCCACCCCAAGAGGGAACCCTGGGTATAATGGGATAGAGGAAGGTGGTTAGAGCACTGCATAGACACAGGCGTAGAGGCAGTGACCCTACAGGAGCTGCACAGCTGTGCTGTTCAGTCCATATGAGAGGAGGAAGCTTAGGAAGTAAACATCCTTACCTCACTTTCTGCCCTCGCTCTGATTTCCCCTGGGTTTTTCTCATTGACTGAACCTTCTGGAAGCCACAGAGCAAAACAGCTGTTGCCATATTTCCTTCTGGAAGAATCTTGGTGCACTGAGCAGGGCAAAGGAACAGAGTCAACTCAGCGAAGCAAGCTGACACCAGCACGCAAGGCGGGTGCTGGCTGGAACCCCACAGAACACTACGGCGACCTGTTCTTTCATTTACAGCTTCTGTTTTCTGTGAAATTAGTAACACATTTTTCTTTCACCAGTTACTCAGGGTTTTCTTTGGCTTACTGTATGTATAGGTTGACTAAATCATGTTTTAAGACTCTCAGAAGCACAAGGTATTTTGTCAATTGTGTCTTCTTGTAGAATTCTCTCCCAGAGGTTTCTATTTTTGTGTGTGTGTGTGCCGGGGATCAAACGCACAACCTTGCGCTTGCCAGGTCTGCACTTACGCTGCTGAGCTAAACCCCAGCCTCATCTCCCAGAGGTTTCTGACCTACTCCAGTCTGAGCCATCATCTTAGTCACTAACCACTGGAACATCCTGGGACCGTCCTTCTTCCTCATTCTGCGAAATCCCTTCACCTCTGTTTGGGGTCTTGTTTCTTTACCCCATGTTGACTTCTTTATTGCTTTATGCCTTTATTTGGGGGGAAGAATGTTGTTTTTTTTTTAAGTTGTCTGAGAAGAATGATTTTGACAGAGTATCAGAAAATGTCTTTCTCTTACCACCACAATTGATTGATAATTTGTCTGGGTATAAAAGTTGTTCTTTCTGAGTTCGGAAGCTTTCCACTGTCCTGCTAGGTGCTGGCTTCCATAGTTGCTGTTGAGGACTCTGGAATCCATTCTGATTTCTTTATTCTTCATGCACACTTCTCATATCACATCCTTGGAAACTCTTAAGACTTTGTTCTTGTTTCCATTGGTGTGAAATTTGAGGTACATTGAGATATTGATTTATGTCTTTCACTTGTAAAAATGTCTTTAAATACTTATTTGATGGTGTTTTTCTTTCTTTACTCTTTGTCTGAACCTACTAGATTGTTCCTGTAACTTTGTTATCTTTTCCTACTCATTTTCTCTTGGTATCACTTTGCTATTCTATCAAATTTTTCTACTTTAATGTTTAAACCATCATTTCTTCTCATTTCTGCTCTTTTATTTTAATATTCAAGGCTTCATTTTTGTTTTCTTAAAATTATGACATTTCTTTTGCCTGTATTGGATTTTCTCATGTTAAAATTGTGTAATGTTCTTGTTAACTACTGACAAACAGTCGGGTCCTAATTAGCAGCATTGAGTACATGAGAGCATAGGTAGGAGATGAAAACCCTAAGTTTCACTGTTGTGTAGAGCTCTCTGGTTGTCATTTCATTTGAGAATCCATGATCATAGCATCTTTAAGTGTTTCCTGTCAGGCTGGTCAGAATATCCAGGGATAATTGTGAGCACGGTGTTGAGATAATGATGGAGAAGTTATGCAGCTGAATGTTAGAACAGGTGGGGCTCCAAGATGCCACCAATCTCAAAATGGTCTTTTTACGTGCAGCTGGACTACTTCCCGGATGACTGAAGGCTTCCAGAGTGAGTGCTGGGAGAGAAACCAGCACAAACTAGGTCTAGGTCTAGGACTAATCTTGCAAGCCAGATGGCATCATTTCCATCCATTCAGTTCCACATTTTCTTCAGTGAGGCTGTCAGAAAGCTCCATGCAAGTTGTTTGGGGATGTGGCTTAATGGTAGGCTCTGTTCCAAGCTCTGCAAAGGAAGCATCACAATACGACAACCATAAGGACCCAGCTAGTTTTAAGAATTAAGCACATGGACTCCCCCTCTTGAGAAGCACAGCAAAGAAACCTGCTCATTTATTTAAACCCTGGCACCAATTCTTCACTGGTGCTTCTTGTTTTAGACTTTGTCCTTTTCTACTGTACCATCCCCCTTGCAGGAAGTCCCTATGGCTATTAATTCCTGAGCCTGTCTTCCAATACTTTACTGCTAGTTTTTCTCTTTTGTTCTTTTATTTGGGCTTGAAACTTAAAAATAAAATTCCTATCATTTTTATGTGATTTCCAGAAACAGTGAATTAGACCATCTTGATGGAGAAAGTATAGAGTTGCCTTAATTTTTCAGTTAGAATTATTCTACATTTTCTCAATCGCCCATCTTACTAGAGAGTCAATGTCTAACATGGCTGTCTATTTGTCTAAACAGTGTTGTGTCATTTTTGTCATAGGTACCACTTTTGGTCTCACGGATCTGTGACATTCAGAACCGAGTCCTAGTCGAAATTCAAAATCTGAATTTTGTGAAGGAGAACAGTGCCACCTTTATTGAGAGGAAACTTAGCTTTGAAAAGAAGAAGCCTGTGCAGACTCAGGTGAGTTTAGCAGCATTCATGAAAGGGTAAACATCACTGCCTTGTGCAAATCATAGTATCATACTTTTTTCTATCATTTACTTCATTCTAGTAGCCCATAGTTTATGCTTAAAACATCTGCTCTATTTTCTTCTCTCTCCACTGTAAGTTCCATAAAATGGCTGACGTATATTTCTGTTTTATACATGATTTATCCTCAAGTATGTAAAATGCTGATTGCCACAAGGCAAACTGTAAGTATTTGTGGACAAGGACTTTATAGGGATAAGTTGTATGTCCATCTCCTTTGTTTTCAAGATAACTCACTCCAGGAAATAGCTTTCCCAAAGTCTCCCAGTGCCAGAGTTTGGAAGGGTCGGTACCTCTTGAGTCCAGCCTAAGGTATTGCTATTTCCCACGAAAAGGTGCACATGTGCAACTTATCATATCAAATATCATTAATAAAGTATTAAATATACAAAGGATTATCTACAAAATGGGAAAGAATTAAAATGCAAGGATTAGAACCTCTGCCTCTTACAGCTGATTTTTTCTTTTCTGCAACACTGCCCCCTTGTGCTTACTGGAGAATTTTTCACTGAATAACTTGATAACAGCCTGCGCTGAGCCTATACACCGACATAAATCTAAATGAATGTACAACTTTTACATTTAAAAAAGCCCTAGGGAAATTTACTTAGTGAGGATTTTGTTAGACACCTGTGTAACCCAAAGCTTCTTCCTTTCCCCAGCCAGATGTGCCTCGACAAACTGACACCCACCGCTCCAAACTTCTGTCCACGTACAGTGCGGAGGAGCTCTACCAAGCTAAGCGCAAGTGCAATGCTACCCAAGAGCGTGACATCAGTCTTCTGGAGGGAGAGCTGGTGGCCGTGGTGGAGCAGAGGGATCCCCTGGGCAGTGCAAGCAGGTGGCTCGTTGATACAGGAAGTAAGTTTTCCCCAGAACGATGCCCCATCTTCAGGTGGAGATGTTCCCAGAGGCCCCTAGTGCTTGTCTGTGTATACTGTTTGTGAAAGGGTCACATGGGGTCCTGATTCCTCTTCTTTTAAAATTTCCTCCCCAGTTGTAAAAGGATACGTCTATTCCTCCTTCCTGAAACCCTACAATCCAGCCAGAGCACAAAAGGCAGATGTGGAGAACAGGCTCTGGGATGATGACTTTGACAATATCAGCTTCTTTGTGTCTTCTCGACCGGCGAGTGACAGTGTCACGGAAACCCCCGAAGGTAGCATCAGTGACAGTGGCTCATTGCTGAGTGGCACTAGTGGGAAGTTTGAAGCAAACGACCCTGATGGTGATGCTTTTCAGGAGGTAGATGAACAGGTAAGAATTCAAACCTTGATGTAAAAACACTTGGCTGTTTAAATTGGGAAAGAATCTCTAACTGCACTCTGTTCCACCCTAAGACCTGGTGGAGAAGTGTGGCTTGGACATCAGAGAGACCTGGCTGTACTACAGGTACTCTCTGTGGACTGCTTTGCAAAGAATGTAGTTCTCTGAGACTGTTTCCTTTGAGGAGATGCAAAGGACCATGATGCCTAGCTTGCAGAGGTGATGTGCCGGACCAGAGATACTGTGCATATGCAAAGCCCCCAGCACAGAACAGCCGGTCACTGTTCTGCCCTGCTGCTGTGTACGCACGGTGAGTGAGGAAGGGCTTTTTACACTGCACGGCCCCATTAGAGAAAAGCAGTTCTGTACCAAGCAGATTGGGACTAACACAGCATCCAGGAAATTGTTCCTGATTCCCCTAAAAGCTGAGCTGTCTGGTAATTGGTCACTTTGGACATCACACACTGAAACTTTTAAGGTCACCTTTGCCTCACTGCACCAGTGCAGAAGCTACTGGTATAAATAATCCTGTCACAAATTACAGTTGTAATGTAGGATTTATTTCAGTTTATTTAAATATTAACCTCATGTGGCCACCAATAGTTAATTCTCTTATTTTAACTTGCTTTTTTCTTTAATGATTTTTAACTGATCAACTCAATTACTTAGGTAATGTATTTTCTTTTTTTGGTAGTATATTTTCCTTGTCAGGTTAGTATGTAAATAAACATACTAAAGGTATTTATTGACTTGTGCCTCAGTTACACTTTTCAGAGACAGTATTTGTGAATGTTCTTTCAGGTGTATTCTGTGCATATATGAACATACGTGTTTAACAAGTGAGGCTGTAATGGTTTTATGATTTCTATACTAGAGCTGCGTTTTTAACCTGGCCCCCAAGAACTTTAACCATTTAGGCCTTGGTAGTTCCACAAATCTCTCTAATATGCTGGAAAATGTGCATATTTATACATTTGTGGTAGAAGTTCATGACTTGTAACAGGTTTTTGAAAGGAAATTTTATCCAAAAAGCTTAGAAATCACTGCTAGAGAGACTTAATTTGCTGATCCATTTTCCTTGTTGGATGAGAAAAGAGATTGTTGAGTAAAGTGATCCAGCATGATCTAGGATTGGTTGTAGTAGTTCAGGAATCTTATGGATAAGGTGGTGATACAATTTACCACATTTAGTGGGACACTTTTGTTAATGAAAAGAAGGAAAGCAGGTGAAACATGATGATGGGTAATTGGAGGGTACAGTCACCCTATTTCTGTGGCTCTCAAAACCAGTCCTCAGAGACCTACACAGAAAGCTTGGTCTTTCTCTGGGTGTTTTAAAAGTGCTCCCAAATTATGGTTCAGAGTTTTTATTAAATAATGTATACTCACAACCCAACAGTTCCTTGCAACAAGGAACTTAATTTTTAAGTATTTTATTCGCTGCTTTATGCTGAATTAGAGAAAAAAACAAAAGTAGTCAATTTACTATGGCTTCCCACCTAACACATTTTTTTGGTCCATCAAATATAATGGCCTGGTTTAGGTTACTGTTCTATGGTACACAACAAATTACTACAAACATAGTGGCTCAAAACAACATAAACTTAGCGTCCATAGTCAAGAGTCCAAGCTTGACCTAGTCGGGCGCCCTGCCTGGGGTCTCCCCAGCTGTCCTCTCCTTGAGGGCTGGAGTGTGTGTCTTTCTGAAACCTGGGCTCTTTCTTCACAAGCTCATAGTTGTTGGCAGAACTCAGCTTCTTCTCCTGGCATCACTGAGGTCTTCGTTTCCTTGCTGGCACTCAGCTTGGAACAGTAACTGAAGGCTGCCTCACTGTAGGCTTGTCACTGTCTCTCAAGGTTGTGTACAGCAAAATGTTTGATTCTTCCAGGTCCATGGCGAGCATCTCTTTGGCTTCAAATCTCTGCCTTTCAGTAAGATCTGAACACTTCTTCCTTTAAAGGTTGCCTCTAACTGTGCTGTTCTGATGTAGGATGACCTCCGCTTTGAGTATCCCAAAGTCAATTTCTTATTAGGTTTATTGCAAAATCTCTTTATTGTTACCATGTAATATAACCTAATCTCAGGAACGAAGTTTTAGCCCACTAACAAGTTTCACCAGTAGTCAAAGGGATTACACAGGACTTGCTCAGCAGGGTGGGGGGCTTGGGATCTGTCATAGACTCTTAGAGCCCACAGTATTTTCATTCCTTATTTGGCCAGCAGAATGTTGTGCTTGGTACTTCACAGAGGACAGGTTTTAATAGTATCACATACCCAGTTTAGAGGGCAGTTCAATATCTAAAAATCAATGCTCTTTTCTATATAAAAATACCAAAAGAACAATTTTTTGACTAGTAACAAGTTAGTGGTTTTGCTACCAGTTTTTCTAAATTTATGGTCTGGTCCTTAATTTACATCTGTCAGTTGTTTATGGTGCTGACATCACTACATGCCTATTATGTCATTGTTAGAAAATGCTTCAAAAATTTGACAGAATATATCAATAATGTGTTTTAATAGTCATTACATGAGTTTTAGAGAAGTTTTGAAGAATTTTATTGATATAAAATGGTTTTCAAAAATATTCTGAAGTGAAAAACAAATTGCAGGAATTATATGCATTATTCTATTTCTATTAGCACTTTAGGTAGGTAAGTAGAAAGAAAATAAAAATGGAAGAGAGGGAAAGAAGGAGAAAAGAAAGGAAAGAAGGAAATAAAATATATTAATAGTAGTTGGCTGGTTTGGGGTTTTTACTCTTTTCTATTTTCTTTTTTAACTCATCCTTATTTAAAATTATTTGTTCATCAAAATTATTTGTACATTAAAAATATATAATTGTTGAATGATAAACATGAAAGTTTGTTCCAAGAGGGTGGGGGAGGAGTGTGGGTAGTATTCGTGCCTTCTAACAATTTTGGCTTCCTGGGCTACATAAGCTATCATACTGTAAATACTGGTTTTGTAGCTTTTAACAGATTTTAGAAAGGAAAATTAAAATGTTATGAACTGTGTTGCTGTCATTGGAGAAGTAGGTTGAAATAAATAAAATGAGGTTCAGCGGAGGCAGGTAGCATGGGCCACCATGGGAGGAAACACTGAGGGTAAATGTATAGAATTCAAAAATACTGAACACAGAGAAAGAGTTAGTGGTCATAAGCGGGGATAACAAATTCGGTAGAAGTCAATAACAGAAGGTTACATTTTTTTAAAGTAAATTCTGTTGGAGAGCTGGGTTGAAGTCACACTACATGGCATATAAAATGAGCCAGCACTCTAGTGATTGCAAAAAAAATTTATATTTTAGTAAATGACAAAGAAAAACAAAGAGGATTAGATTATTATGATTCATTTATTAACAGTTTAATTCCTATTCTAGCCTGACATATGCACACTTTTAATGTTAGAAAAATATAACCTAAGACAGTTAAAGTATTGAAAATAATGGGAAATATTTCAGCTCCTAAATGCATGACAGATTGAAAGCTTGCAAACTTTACAGAAAATTACAAAATTTAAATATGATAACATAAAAATAATTTTAAAGACTAAAAAGAGAGGCATAAAAGCCTGTGATAGACTGTCTTAAAAGCAGACCTACTTACATTTTGAGTGTATAATGTATGCCTCTATTTAAAGTAAGTTATATAAAAAATAAAAGATTCTCATTCTAAATAAATTTTGTACCATGATCACCTACAGTATTGAAAGTGTATAATTTTATACTTTAAATTTATGATTTTATGAGAATCTGTATTTAATGTTCAAATTATACAGTATACTATCATTTCATGCCAAATAGATGCAGAGGGAAGATTTTATATTTCCTTTGAGAGAATCTGTGCCAAAATCAAAGGCTGTCACAAAATCACAAATACTTAAAAATGGTATATTAATAAGCTAAGCCATCTTGCTGAGAAACTTGTAACTTCAGCATATATATTACAAGCATATATATTACTTATAAGAACTACATATATAAGCACATATATTATAGTAATTACAAAAGATAGTAGCTGCTAATACAGATTCTTACAGTTTATTTCAGGAGCTATATTACAGCACATCACAGTCCTAGATGCTTTTGTAAACCAAATTCTCCACTTAGCTCTTGGCAGATCTAATCAATATTTGCACTATAAAACAATAAAACAAAAATAGCAACTTCCTGTTAGAGGCTCTCGATCCTTTCCACAAGAAAACACTGTGTGTATCTGAACTAGATTCAGAATTTGGTTCTTACAGCACCATAAGAAATGGACCAAGAACAGAGTTAGAAGTTAGAAGATACTGGTCACCATGGGAGGAAACATTGAGGGTAAATGTATAGAATACAAAAATACTGAACACAGAGAAAGAGTTAGTGGTCATAAGCGGGGATAATAAATTAGGTAGAAGTCAATAATCAGAAAGTTACATTTTTTAAAGTAAATTCTGTTGGAGAGCTGGGTTGAAGTCACACTGCATGGCATATAAAATGAGCCAGCACTCTAGTGATTGCAAAAAAAAAATTCATATTTTAGTAAATGACAAAGAAAAACAAAGAGGATTAGATTATTATGATTCATTTATTAACAGTTTAATTCCTATTCTAGCCTGACACATGCACTTTTAATGTTAAGACAATATACCAGTCAGTGGGATTGGAATGTTATCAAAAGTTAAGTAACAGTTGGCGATTTAAATAAGAACTTGTAACATTGTCCCCGGCTTACACTTTCCTGTTTGGTAAAGCCATTGTATTTCCCATGGTTTCCTTTAACTATTGGAGCTCAACTTTGAAAGCTAATTGGCTTGTCTTTTCCTGTATACTGTTTTCACCTTTGTGCTTTTAAATATGACATATCCACCTCCTTGTCAACTTTGTCATTCATGAAGGTCACTTCCTTCAAAACCCAGCTCATAATTAGCTAATGAGTCATCCATGGGTGGAAAGTTTTGTTACTGGTGGTGTTTTGTTTTGTTTTGTTTTGTTGACATTTATTATTTTCCTGAAAGTTCCCTGGTAAAATCATATCTAGCTTCATAACATCTGGTAAGTCAAATTGTTTGATTAAATGAATATTTAAATGTTTATAACCAATTACTTACTCTCATACCACAACTAAACATTTGTATCATTTGTCTTGTGATCTTACTTAAAGATGACTTGAAGACTTATTTTAGAGATTCTAAAAATTATAAAGTGTTCCTTTGAGGTTACAGAAAAATTCCTTTAATTGAAATAGGTTTTATTACTTTCTTTTGGGTCATTTCAAATAATTTTAAAATTATAAATTTGATACGATGTCATAAAATTTGGAAAGTAAAAGAACAAAGAAGTGACAATGAAAATCGCCCATTATCTCACCATTCAAAGACATCAGCGAGCATTTTAGGAACATATTGTTCATCTAATTTTATACCGTTTTGCTTACTATTTTATGGTAAATATTTTCCAGCTTATTAGTGTCAGAAACACCATTTTTATTGGCTACAAATTTCCTTAGTGTGACAGTCTGGAATTTATTCCCCTCTTTTGCTAAAACTTTAATATTTCCCACACCACACCCAGTTTTCACCTTACATGTTGATATTATCCTAAACTGTTCTGTAAAATATCTGCCAGTGTTTCTACTTTAGTAGAAGAGATTGTTAGAGATACTGATTCAAAAAGAATTAACATTAACATCTTAAGAGAAACTGCCAAATTGCTTTCAAGTGTGGACAATTTAAATTCCTTCTGAAAGAATAAGAATGCCTGTTCCATTCCATAATTATCTGGATCATATTTTAGCAAAATAAATCCAACAGAAAGAGCTTTGCAGGGTGACTGTGAGAAAATAAGAAAACTCTGGCATTACTTCTGAGTGCCTGGAAACCTTTACTATGTTTCTCTGAACTTCTGGTTCTGGTTTCAATAACGTGATTTTCTTCTTTGTCTAGATTTTCTATGCAGTTCACCCTTTCCAAGCTCGAAGTCACTATGAACTGAGTCTTCAGGAATACCAAAGAGTCCATATTCTCAGATTTTGTGACCTAAGTGGCAATAAAGAGTGGTGGCTAGCTGAAGCTCAAGGGCAGAAAGGCTACGTGCCAGCTAACTACCTTGGGAAGATGACTTATGCTTAAGAAGATAAAACCGTGACCTTCATTTCCTGGCAAGGTACAGACTGACTACCTCACGGACCTGACATTCGGAAACTTCCAACCAGAAAACAAGAAACTTCCAAACTATATGAAGTGATACCCTATCAGGTCTGAAGGAACATCATCCTACGTAACACATTACTTCATGAATATATGATGAATGCTAAACCAACAAGCAGCAAAGCTAACCATCTGGGCTCCAATTAGAAACTATTTAACCCTGGAGATGTTTCAAAAGAATGGATTTTTTTTTTTTATTGTCATTAAAGGCTGGGTCTAAGAATAAGGTTTTTTCCATTTACTATAAACTTTTTTCTTACTATATTGTTTTTTTGTTTTATACTTCTTACTTGTACATAAACATGTTTAAATATACATACATTATGCATATAGCTCGTACAATTATGTCTCTATACCAGAGAGTATACTAAATATACATAAGAATAGGAATTATTCTAGAAGTCTTTATGTGGTTTAAGCTATAAACCAAAGGAAAAATCTGACTAACGTGACAATATCTGACACTGACTTTAAATGCTTTATGTGTTGTAGTAACATAATTTAATGTAATCCAGTGCCCAAAGATGTGGAGGAATGTTGCCCAAGTCAAATGCTAATGGATGGTATGGCGGGACTCAGACCTAGGTATTCTGTCCCCTGGGTCAATGCTCCTAAGCACAGCATTGTGCTCCTCCAAGATCACACACATGTGTGTGCAAAGCACTTAGGGCTATGAATAATGAACTGAAGAGGACCATTCATTACTCTCTCATGCCCAACTTTAAGTATTACAAGCTTTTCAAAATTAAGGGCCACAAGAACTTCCATTTCAGCCCAGGGAAAATGTATTTATGTTTATTATTTGTTTTTATTATTTTGCTTACCATTTCAGAAGTATAATTGTTTGAGAGCTACATTACATGATTGTAAATGATGCTTTAATGAGGACATGTTTTCGGGCCCCTCAATCATCCGGATGATGAATGGGGAATGTGTGTTCTGTGTTCTGAGCCAAGATGGACATATTTTCAGTTGCTGCTTTGGACTTAGACAAGGCAGGCATTCAGGAAAACATCTGCTGTTTCACAGTGTTCTGGGACATGGAACTTTAATTTCAGGCATGTTTTTCTCAAGACACTTTATTGAACTAAAGATGGTTTTATGTCACAGAAAAAAATTAAATTACAGTTAACTGCAGTGGGTTCTTTTCAAAATCAAATTAAGGTGGACTTTCATTATCTACATAATGTATCCATATAGCATTCAATTTTAAGATTTGCTACTCTATTTGATCCCTATAATGTGTAACATATATATATCTCACTGAGGAAAACATACACAATGAATGATGCTACTTTTCAGAAAGCAGCTGGCTTTTAACACACACACAGACATGTACAACCACAGCAATTCAGAAGATATTCACGTGACAGAAAAGAATCTGCACTTTATTCTGTTCCTAAAATCATTAATCTAAAAATAGCTTTATAAAATTTGGCTGTTATATAAAAAAGAATTGTGATGTGTTAGGTACATGTACCAGCTCTTCATGAGGAGTGTAATCATTGTGTAATGCAAGCATGTGCTGATAAAAAGCAAAAACTGGGGAAAAAGTAAAAATTCTAAGTTATTTTTGTGTGAATCATTTTCCTGCTTTGAGTTAGGCACTAAAGAAGATTCTCTTTTATAGATACATGTAGACTTTTATCTACTTTTATGTCTTTTACCTATTCTTTGTACTAAATTTGAAAATTTAAACCAATTTGCACAGGGTAAAGCAAAATGAAATCCAAACTTGCTACCTGTGGAAACTAGGAACATGCTCAAAGAGCAAAATAACACAGGAAGAGAATATATACATACATGCATATGTAAATACCTATACCTGAATAATCCCAAAAGTGAAGAACTTCGTAAATAGCGCGACCCTGAGTTTCAGGCTGTTGTGACCTGAGGTACACAGGCTTTGTCCGGTGGGCTGGCCCTGAGGACTGACTTCCTGTCTGGCCTTTGACGGGTGCACTCCACCAGAGTCACAGCTGCAGTCGCTGCTGAGCAACAGCTGTAATGAAGCTGCCAACTGCAGTTCCCGCTACTGTGGCGAGTACCTGTGATTCTGTGTAGGCTTTGCAAAATTATGCAAGACCCTCATTTTCTAAATATTTTGCTTAAAAGCCAAGGAAATAGTGATTTTGAGGATCAATATTAGTTTATTGAACCCAAGGGAAATAAACTTCCAAGAAAGTTATGAGATGTATAAATCTTTAAGACATTTAATAGACAAAATTATTGGTGGCAATGCTATAATTAGGGGAAGTGATGCTAATTATTTTATATTCCTTTTAAAATGTTGTACAGTACAGGATCCTCTGACATCTTTTTTGTTGTTGTTGCTGTTCTTGTTATTAAGAATGAAGGAAAAACTATGTAGCTGTTTTTGTTTTTAAAACAAATAAGCATATTATACATTTTGTTTAGTCTTACTCTTAGAGATCCTCTAAGCTAATGGTATATATAATAAAGTTCAGAAAGTGGAAAAGTTGGTGCAGTTATTCAAAATTACCATGGGTGCTAAAATTGTATGAAAAAGGCACAAAGCCACTACTGAACATTCTGTGCATTTCAGACACATATCATGAATGTGAAGATTGAGTCCTGCAACAAAATATAATCATGTTTTTAATCAGAGCAGGGGAGCTCTGTGTGACCTACTTTAGTGCTGGAATATTCTACGTAAGTCTAAAATGTAACTTGGACTTTGAAATGTCTATTTGATGAATGTAACTCAGGTGAGTGACAAAAAATCACACTACTAATGCGTGGCATTAACAACTTCACTTTCCCCATTAGCCTCTTGGATTTTCATCCATTGCAAAAACCTCTCAAAGCCATATGAATAAGAGGAGAAAATTTTTGTATTCTAAGATGGCACAAACCTCAAATCTTATTTACATCCTATTTATTATAACTGCAGCTTTCTAATGTAATTATATTGCTAAACACTGAAAATATCTGCAACTCACAAAACTCAGACTAATTAAGACAAAAATTTATACTCATCTGTAAGAGGAAGAAATTAAATTTCACTGACTAGGACATGACTTTATACTCTAGAAACATGATTATTTTAGGGAATGACACTGTTTTTTAAAAATTCTTAATATTTTATACTCTACCTATAGATAAAGATTGTTTTATTTTTTCAGAAAAATAAGTCATGCTTTAGCAAATATTAGAATGAAATGTTCTTGTTCAAAACTCTAGGAAATACATTCTTAATGTATACAAATACAAATGTATACAAATACAAATTAAATAAAACTTAGTTTAAACATTATGATATGTAAGTGAATTTTTGGTTTTTCTCTGTAATTTCTTATGTACTTTGTATAATTATTGTATTAATAAAATTTTATTATAAAATGAATTTCCTATATAGTCTATGTTCATCACAATGTAATTTGTTATTAATAAATAGTACTACTATATGTTTAGTAAGAGTTGGAGTCATTTAACCTTTAAATACAGGTATGTTTTGACTTACAATGGGGTTATGTTCTGATAGACCTAAACTTAAGTCAAAATTTATCCTAAGTTAAAAATTCACTCAATGCAGCTAAGCTTGCAGCCCATCCTGACTTAGTAACAACACACTGTAGCTAAGGGTTAATTACATGCGCAGCCTCATGAATGATTGGGAGGTGTTGGTGCCTCACCTGGAAATGCAAGACAGCATCACAAGGCATCTGGCTGGTCGGGGAAAAGACCAAACAAGTACGCGTTCTAGTAATGTGTATCGCTTTTGCAGCACCACGCACTGGAAGTCAAGCCATTGTAACCGGGACCCTCCGTGTCAGGTATCTCATTTTCATCTGTGTTTATAAAAGAGGAAATCAAGGATCCACTCAGCCAAGACTTGGAGACATGGATTCAGACCAGCTCACCCAGTTTTAAGGCTGGTGTTCGTTCAGTGTTTCCTCTTTTTTCAGTTACTAAAATCCATGGCTAATCCTAACAGGAACCACAATATGCAAAACAGAAAAGTGATCCCGACCAAGTTTCTTGTAAAGTGGAACTATTAACCTGGAGCTTATTTATACGCACATCTACTTACCTCAGCATTCCTTCACTGAGCCCCGCATTGAAATCTGCAGATCTGTGTGACACTATTTCTCTCCCTGCATACAGCTTCCGTCTGAGTGGAGAGCAAGGTGTACAGGACAAAACAGAATGAGAGGTACTACTGCTGCTTTTCACCACTGCTCAGTTTAAACGTTTTGGAGCTCACTTGGTGATATGGAAAAATCCAGATCTCTGAATTACTTGACACAAACTCTTAATAACAAATATGCCTCAATAAAAATATCACACTGTGCATATTATTAGATATGTACATAATTACATATGGGTATATATCCTAAATATAAAGTCATATCCACTGAAAGAAATTATTTCCTAAAGTCTTCCTACTTAACTTTCTAAAATTTAATGAAATTGCTTCCTTTCTCAATTCTGTTTAGCAGTAATTTTCTATGATGAGCTGGAACTTTTCCTTTTCAAATGCTGATGGGCCAACTGAACCAAGAACTACAGATTTAATGTTTTACAGACAATGAAGTTAAGCACCTGCCTGGCAAGCACAAGGTCGTGAGTTCTATCCCCAGTACAAAAAAAAAAGATATTTTAAACACTGAGGTCAGATGAATTATTAAGTTTTTTTACATAAACTATTTCAGATCACCCTGTCCAGTTTTGTCCAAACTGGCTCTGAACTATAAACAATGATAGATTTTATTAATGTCTTTAAACCTAAAGAGGATTTGACTTCCAGGAGAACATGGTGGATAGATAACAACAGCTACAGAGGCTCTCTGAGATAGCCAGTTTAGAATCCAGGGATGGTGCAGTGTGAGGAGTCCTAAGCAAGGTGAGCTATACCCTGCCAACCCAGGAGTGAACTAAGCTGAGAGAAACCAACTGGAAATGCAATCCTGCTGCTATAAGAGGAACAGATAAAATCTCAGTGCTGAAGCTGGAACCCGCAATTTGAATTTCCTGCTGCCTCTGCGGTGTCTGAATTGGCAGGGCAGGGACAGAGACGTGAAAGCTCTGAGAGTGGGAATCGGCGAACGGAGTTGAGAATGGGACTGGTGGGGAGCCCTGTATCTACCTGCGGTGAGTGAGAAGCCCTGTATCTACCTCCACAGACTAGGAGGATCCAACAGAGGACATTCTGGGACTGGGCAGACTAGCCGGAACAGGATGCTGCAGTGACTTTAGTCACATATTCCCCTCTCAAGCGGGATTGGTGGGGAGTGCTTGGCCTGGGTGACGCCACGGACTAAGACCCAGTAGGCTAGCCCAAACCAGATCCCAGCACCTCGCGGTGCACCCTAGCAGTGAAGCCTTCAGTAGGACCTGGAGGGGCGGGCCCAGCAGAGGCTGCCCAGGTCTGTGTCTCCCTAGTACACTGCAGTGGGCGGGAACACCTGGCCGGCACAATTCAAGCAAACTGTAACAGACAAAGAAAAAAAAAAAAAAAAAAAAACTGGGCCTCCTATATATGCCTGTATGGAAGGAACAAAAAATATGGGAAGAAGGAACAACAAGAAAGGGTCCTTGGACCCCAATCCTGAGAACACTGATCCAGGAAAAGTAAATGCAAAGGAGAATGAGGACAGAAAACATGCAATATCAGACACGGCACCAACAGACATAAAGCGATATCTCTGGAGCCTCATAGATGAGTTCAAAAGTGAAGTATTTAATGAAGTAAAGCAAGATATAAGTAGAATAGTTAGAGAAATGCTAAGCACCGCTCAAGAAAAAACAGATGGTGGAATGGAAGAACAGAAAAAGAGGGGAAAATTGTTTGATGGAGAAAATAGAGAAAACATAGAATACGTGAAGCAGGTTCAAAGAGATTACCAGGATTATCTGAACTGGAGGACAGATTTGTAAGGTGGGAGCATGAAATGAAAAACTTCTTAAAAATAACAAGAAAACAAACAACAATAATACAAAGGCTAGAAGATGATAAGAGGATCTCTAACTTAAGAATTAAAAACATAAAAGAAGAAGAAGGGACACAAACAAATGAACTACAAAGGCTATTCACAGAAATAATCCAGGAGAATTTCCCTAATTTAGCAAAAGGTAAAGATACTCAGATGTATGAGGCATATAAGACCCCAGCCACCCACAACCCAAACAGAGCTACACCCAGGCATATAATAATCAAAATTCCAGAATTCCAATATAAGAACAGAATATTAAAAGCCATCAGAGACAAGAAACAGATCACTTACAAGGGAACACCCATCAGAATTATAGCAGACTTCTCAGCACAAACCATCAAATCACAATGAGTGTGGGGGGAAACAATTCAAGCCTTGAAAGATAATAACCTCTAGTCAAGATTGATATATCCTGCACAACTGTCCCTAGAAATTGATGGAAAAACAAGGTGCTTCCAGGATAAAGAGGAACTAGGGGAATATGCAACCACCAATTCAACTCTACAGAGAATACTGCAGGACATTCTAAAAAAGAAAAATACCAAGATTCCAGAAACAGTGGCAGAGAGGCCACAATGAATGGAGCAGAAAGTGAAATGAAGAAGACAAACTGACAACTAATGACAGAAAAAGAGCTCAACAGAAATGAGGCAGAGAAGGTTGGATGGTATGAACAGATATTTTGAAGAAAACAAGACATTATTATAACTAGTGCTGATTTAATATCATCTTGTTTTGAAGTCCCATAAGCTTTTGCTCTTCTGTCTCCATTGGTCTTAACAGGTTGTATCTTGTTGGATTTTATTATATGTGACAATATAAATAAAAACTTTTATAGACAAGATTATACAGAAACCATTGTTCATTTTCTGTTAGTTGATTCTAAATGCCCTGTAATACTGTTGTTCTCCTGAATGGTTTTACATTGTCTTGATATGTTTGATGCTATAGTATACGAAGTTATACTCAAAGATTTCAAGGAAAGAGACACTATGGCAACTACTTTTATGTCGGGATATATTGTGGTGAAACACTATGTGCTGTTTTGTTGTTATGTTCTCTTTTATCTCAATCTCCTTTTTTATTATTTATCTTTTTAATTAAGGGAAAAACAAAAAATAGCAGGATACATTATAGTAACCCACTTTGATTTCCTATTAACTTGGTTTGAAACCCTGTATTGCCCTCACCATCTTGTTTTGACTGATTTTCCTCTATTCTGTTTTGCTTGATTGTACCAAGTTCGAAAGTATAGGCAACAACTGTGAAGACAGTAAGATTCATTATGACCCCCATTCTGGTTGTCTATTATCTTCTTTTAAAGTCCTGTAATGTTTCCAATGTTTTGGTTTTATTCTTTACTGTTTTGTTCAATTTTATTATAACTGATGATATAGGCAATTCTTTTTAAGATAGCAAGAGGCAGTATGGTAACCATTGTTGATCACCTTGTATTTTGTTTTTACATTATCTATTATGTCCATCCTTTTGATTTGACTGACTCTGTTCTGATATGTCGCATTTGGTTTTACTCTCTTCAAAAAAAGTAGTAAGAACTGTGGGAGTAATAAAACCCAAAATGTGTAATTGTCATTGTACAAAAGAGAGGAAAAGAAAGTGCTCTAAAGGCTATAACTGCATGTATATTTAAGTGTGTAACATAGATAACCATATTACTGAGTTTTGTTGGATCATTGAACAGAACTGTTTGTAGTCTTACTGTTTGAATGTTCACTTTACATGCTTTAATTTTGTAACTTGAACAACTATTTCTAAGATGACAATATGTAATCTATTAACTAGTGATTTCCTACTGTTTATTTTTTCTGAAATTCTGTACAACTTGTACCTTTTTTTCTCCTTAAATAAAATTTAAAAAAATTTTTAAAAAAACCTAAAGAAGATTTGAAGATTAAGCTAAATTTGTTTTATCAATAGAAATCTGTCTGTCAAACACAAACTTCTACAGGCAGATTTTGAACATATAAGCAAACATTTACTCCACATGTAAGTAATTATCTCAATCTTGGATGGTAATTTACTATGGATAATTTACTATTATTTTACAGCAGAATTTAAAATAATCTTTCCTTAGAAAAAGAATAAGTTAAAATTTAAAAGCTTTATCTTCATAGAGCTCACTTACTGACATGTTAGGATAATGTTAGAAAAGCTCAGGGACTAAGGAATAGCATTGGGATTCCACAGCTGATAAAACCACGCTACAACTGTTTTGTAAATGTGAGAACGTTTACCAACCAAGGCCTCCTGTCTTTCATGAGAATATACATGTAGAACAATGGCAGGCTGATTTGTTAGTTTGTCAGCTCTGACCCTCACTTCTGCACTGTCTGCAGTAGACAGCTGGTCTGTTGCTGAAATGAAACCCTTGAGGCTATCTTAGTGAAGAAAAAGGTCTATTTACCTCACAGCCCTGGAGGTTGAAAGTCTAAAAGCATGACACTAGCTCTAATAAGGGTCCCTGGCTGCATCAGCCCCTGAGGGTGGCATCATGGCCAGACTCATAGAAGGATGCCACAGGGTGCTTCAGGGGACAGGCTTTGGGTTTAACACTGCACTTTCAAGAGCTAATTCAAGTCCCATTGATGTTAGTCCTTAGTGAGGACAGTGAGCCAGTGATCCAAGAATATTGCCCTAGGCTCCACCCTTTCATGTCACCACTCCTACCAGCACCACACTGGGGACTGGCTTCCAACACAGGAAACGCTGGGTGACAAGCTGCATCCAAACTGTAAGCATGTCCTGACTTAACGGACAAAGCAACCTCAGCCAGTCCTTAAACAGGAGTGTCTTCTATGCAGTTAGCTAAGACGAGGAAAATGCTCTAATATCCAGGGGCAGAAAATTCCGCCTTTTCTTTGATAGGTATGGGAAGAAGCTGTGTGCAAATACCACAAATTCCCATCCACAAAGATAGTTGTACATTTTTCAAGAATAGATATAATCAGTATGAATCAAAATTCTATTACAAAAAATTGATTTTGAATATTGGTGAAGTACTTGAAGAAGCAACTGAAAAAAGGCTGAGCGCGGAGACCACTCAAAATATGGGGCGGGGTCCCTCACGGTAAGGCACCCTTCTCCGCAGGGTCGGCTTTTGGGGCTTTGCTACCTGGACCACGTGTATTTATTTAAACCCGCATATGTTGGCAGCCACCTGCAGTTCTCAGCAGGGATTAGTAGGTTCTAATAATTATTTTCACATACTATGCAAAGTATTAAAACAAAGCATTAAAGGCAGTTAAAATAAAGTATCCATGTCTTGCTAAATAATACTCAACACAGGAAGGTAAGAGACGATAAGATGGATTATGGAGGTTTTTATTAAATTATAGAACCTGGCAGTCCATGTCCTGCAGCACCGCCTCCTCTCCGCGGTGAGGGGTGCAGGGTCCCACGGGCCCTTCACTTCTTGAGCTTCTTCTGGGCGGCTTTCTTCTTGACCATCTGTAGGCGCTTCATGGCGTTCAGCTGCGACTCCTGAGATGTCGGGCCTTTAAGGGACGCCGAGGGCCCGCTGCTGGCCTCGGGCGTGGCTTTGCTGGTGGCACTTCCGCCGGGCCCCGAGGGGCCGCTGCTTCCATTCCCGCTGGGCTGGCCGCTGCCCCCTGGCACTACACTGGTGGGGCTGGGAAGACCTACTTTGCTGACGTTGTCGCAGCTAACCGAGCGGCTAAGGCTGGTTTTGCCCAGGGTCAGCGGAGGCGGCGGTTTCAGGGGCACGGTGGGCGAAGCGCTGCTGCCGGGGCCCACCTTGGAGCCCGGTCCGCCTTTGGATGACGTCGCCAGGCCCGTGAGACCCACGGGCTTCGGGCCCGCGGCGGAGGCGGCAGGCTTGCCCCCGCTGTTCTGCGTGGTGGAACCCAGCTTGGCCGTTGACGGGCCTGCGGAGGACGTTTTGGCCGCAAAAGCTGCCCACCCGGTGAGGCCGCTGGTGGCTGAAGAGGAGACGCTGGTGCTGGACGAGCTTCCTGAAATAACGGTGGATGTCTGCAAAAAAGACACACACCTGGTGACGCCACGTGTACCGAGCCCTACGGCGTGTGTAACACCTTCCGTGTGCAACGGGCTTGCTTATTCCATTTTCATCCCAAAGTAATTCCTTAGGAAATGTAAGCCATGCCACAGAACTGTGGGCTTAAGAAAGCTGATGTGAAAAATCACAGAGAATCAAACTTTGCTGTAGGTAATGCGTGTGTTGCCATTTTCAGAGCAGAAAGTTTTCAATGCCATATTTTTGTTTGGAACTGCTTGTAGATTCAGTTAGATGCCATAGCAAAACGAGGGAAAAAAAGCCAAAATTAATGCTTTAACTTATTTTTTATGGCTGTAACCTACCTAAGAAAGACATCCAATTCATTTAAAAAACTAAATCTACACTCTATGGTTAAAAATGCTGACATCCAGGATATTCCAAAGATGCCTTGGGATAAAGACTCAAACAATTATTTAGTGAGTGAATGTGTAAAAAAAATAAGAAAATATCCATATATACAGATTCTAAATCTACATTTATAAGAAAAAGTTGCTGCCAAATTTTGAGCTGCAGCACTGAAAATATATGCAGATGTGCAAAGTGACTACTTAGAAGTATGTAACTCTCACTCTATATTAAAAAGAAAAGATCTCATGAATTAAGATTTACAATTTGCCCATGATGCCGTTGGAACCATCATGTAGCAAATTCCCGCCTTCGCATAAGGGGCTTTGGCAACTGTGAGGGCGCAGGGTGGGTGCTGGGTGGGACTCACTCCCAGGGGTTTCATTCCTGCAGAGAGCTTCAGTTTCTCCCGGAACTTCCTGCCTCAGCCGACACTAAGGCCACATGTAAGGCTCTTATTCACATGAGAACAAACATTGTTACTTTCACAGTAGGCACAGTTTTTCAAATTAACTTTGAATCAAACTACTTACTGACACTATCTTTGTAGTAAGAAGTGTTAGTTTCACCTACGAGTAAAGGCTTATAAAAAAATAACATTTTTCTTTTAAAAATGGTTATGATAGGCTTAATATATTATATTTTAGAATTGAATTCTGCAAGTGCTTCTAAAATAATTTTAGCTTTTACAAAAAGCCTTGAATATTATCTGTATGTGAACATTTTTAAGCAACAGAAAAGCAATCAGAGTAGAGCACTCTGGGATTCTTGCTTCAGGAGTTCAGGTTCTGGGTAAATTCTCTGAAAAATGACAGGCTATTTTTGTATAACAACATCATATGATAACTGTCTCATTAGATTATCCTGATTAGGGAAACTTTGCATAGAACATAAAGTCCGGCAGAAATGTACATGGGTAGTGAGAGAAAAAGCTAATCAAGGAAGCAAAAGGGTTACAGGCGCAGTAAACTTTTTAATTTTGGGTTTTGAAAGATTTAATTTTTCCCCTTGCTTTCTATTTAAACATAAAACATATGGCTAAATGATTTTTCAACAAACTTCACCAAAGAAAACTCATTCAAAGTAATTAAAAAGACTAAAACTTATGAACTATAAACAAGGAAACAAGTTGTATATGTTTGGCATTTTATTTTAATGGCTTGCTGTTGCCTGGTATTGCTTTTCAACAAAATGACAAATGCTTTATAATACTACCAGAGGCCAGATGTAGAACAGCAACGTGGGGACCATGGAATTCCTTTCTATTTCAGTTTAGAAAATAAATTTCCCACAAATTTTCAAGTACGAACTTTTTTCATTCTAGTTAGAAAGCCATTTTCTTTTTACATGTGAGTGGAAACAAAGTTTTCATGCCAAAAATGGATTCATTTGAATCATAAAAACACCAACACCTCTCAGACAAAATGAAGGCTGAGCGCATATCTGACACAAAGTGATTTCATGCTGCATTTTCTGAAAATACACAATCGTAGTAACATGGTTAATAAAAAAAGCCTACCAACAGTAAGTAAGAATGTAGCACTCTAATTACTTTTAGAAAATTATTCTTACTGCTATTTCAATTTCCAAGTCCTTTTATGACAAAACAATAACGGATATACTTTGGATACCAACTCTTCTCTAGCTACTTTAAAAAACAATCACCAAACAAAAATATCTGTCTTTTTCAAGAGTGCTATATATTCACATGCTTTTCCAGCATATCAAGATTATTGAGCTTGTTACAGCTATTGAGAAAAAGTTGTCAGTGGAATTTTCTAGGGTCAATCTTGGAGAATCTGGGGCTAATATATTTTTTTCAATTTTTAGTACTATGTTTATTGGAATATTCAGCTCAGGAACAGTGTTCCTATTGTTGTAAAACTAGATTAGACACACACTTTATTGTATAATGTAACAATGCTAATCTGTTAACAATAACCTAGGGGTGTGAAGGGTGTGAACTGGGAATGAGAAAAGTGAGGCTCTCACTGAGTAGCATAGTAGTGACCCTTCATAAGGAGACAAGGCGTGAAGAGGCCGAGCAGCACAGCGGCCTGAGGCGCAGAACTGCTGCCACTGTGGGAAGCGGGGAAGCGGGATTCAGATTCTAAAGCAAACGCCTGATGAGGTGAAGGCAGGGTTGGGATGAACGCGGAAGCACTGTACCTTGACTTCTGTCCTCTTGAACGCTAGGAAGGTGGTCTCTTGTTTGAGCTTTGTTTCTGGTTTCTTAACCAAGGGATCCTTGACGGCGGGGGCTGCGGAAACCACAGTTGGGGCTGGCTTCTGCGGGGGCTTCTGAGTTTTCTGAGCCTGTTGAGGTCAGAAAATAAATTAGATACTAAATCTTAACTGACTACACAAGAAATATAATAAAAAATTATCACCAGGCCAGTTGTAGAACAGAAATAGAGTTGAACATTTAAAAAAACAGACTGCTTATCACAGTATGAATAATTTCATAGGTTTCATTAGCTTCTTACCAGTAATGATAATAATAAGGTTTAGAAATCATGCAGTTTAGGGTTGGTTAATAGCATTTTAACAAGACAAACCTAGCTGTGTTTTAAGGAAATTCTCAAGCTATAGTATAGCTTCCCTTGGTGTAAGGCTTTGGCCTGTCCCCGCATCCCCATTCCAAAATCTGTGGCTGCTCGAGTTCCTTATAGAAAACGGTACATTTGCATGTAACACACACACCTTCTGTAAGCTCTCTGTCATTTCTGTGCTATACCAAATATGATGTGACTGCTATGTAACAACATACTGAATGGTTTTGGAATTAACGACCAAGAAAAAAGTGTGTATGTTGAGTGCGTGCAATTTTCTCCTTTCTAAACGAGAGTCGGTGTAAGCCACAGATGCTGGGCCTAGCCACCACAGTTCAGCTGTGTGCGCCAGCTGCGCCCCAGCTCTGCTCGCTGCGAAGTACGCTCCACACCTCCCGGCAGTTAGCCACACACTTCCTGCTCGGGCCCCGGCGGAACCCTCTGGGTACTGCAGGTGAGTGAGGCACAGGTGAGGGAATTATACTGTTCTAAATACAAAATGGGCAAGGGAAAGTACTGATAAACAGTGAACCTTTTTGAAGGTTCCCCATACTGCACAACTAGATAAGCCAGGTCCTTGGAGAAAGTTCATCACTACAAATTTCTGTTATCAGAGGAGAATTTCTTTCATTCTTCCTTTACCGAAACAAAAACTACAGTTTTACTTTCATGAATAACTGATTTTTTCCCATTTATTTATTTATCTTTGGTAACAGGGATCGAGCTCACAACCTCGTGCTTACCAGGCAGGTGCTGTGCTGCTGACCTATACCCTTGGCCCTTTTTCTTTTACTTTTAAACTAAATTAACTAGCTCTCTTATGAACTCTAGTCATTTTTCAGTTTGGTTCTTTTTAGCATTTTACAGGAGGAGAATAAAAGCTACATACACAGTACGACGCAGTACTGGAGAGCATTTTTTGGTGTCACTAGACCCAGGATTAAAGCCTAACTCACTCACTTCCCCAGCTACGTCCCCCAGATAAAACACGTGAGCTCCTCAAGCCTTGCTCTGGTCACCTGCAAAACGGTGCTGATTCCACCTGTCCGAACAGCGAGCGGGTCCTGGCCTGCGCTACAGGCACGTGGGAGTGCAGAACAGGCCCGGCAATTACCGGTTATTCCTCCCCGTTACTTACCAAGGATAAGGAAACAGAATAAACAAGAAGCTGTCCACACTCTGGCAGCTGTCCTGTAGTCGTTAGAAATCCTCCCAGAACCACATAGTGCTACACCGGGAGCTTGAGTGTTGATTTCTGGTACTAATCTACATCTCCTCTTGGCTCACAGTGAGAACAGAATTAGAAAATGACCTGTCCTGGGCTCTGCTCTGATGCTCTGCCAAGGAATGAGATCTGGTCATCCTGACACATGGAGCAAACATTTAATTTGCAAAGCAGATAAAGAATAACTACTCTAGGTGAGAAGGAGATGCTTAGAAACTGAACGCATGGAATAAGGACAGTCACAGCATGCATATTTGGTGTCACGCAGAGTGAGGCTGTATGGTAAAGCATTGGGATGGACAGGCAATGGGTCAAAAAGAGAGGGACTCTCCATACATGCACCCCAAGATTCTAAGCTCACTGCATAAGTAACTGAGAGCCTCTGAGAACACTGAAGCAGATGAAGTGAGCATTTTAGTAATTATTTAGTAATTCTACATGCACATGAAAAGAAGTAAACAACTCCTCCTCCCCATCTCCTCTCTGCTGATTTTTCTTTGGTACTACTAGGGGTTAATCGCAGCTTTTGCCCTGAGCTCGACCTCTAGCCCTTTTTATTTTTTATTTTTGGACAGGATCTAGGTTTCTCAGGCTGGGCTTGAACTTTTGTCCTATAACAATAAGCCAAAAGGTGAACAGAGGGCAATGAACAGAGAGGGTTTGGCCTTTTGGCCTAGAAACATAAAACATGCATCTTGTATACACAACATTTACATAATAGCTTAAATTACTTGCTTTTTCAGAGTGCTAACGTCCAAGTACTTATCTTGAAAGCACTTTGTCAATGAAACAGCAACAAATACTACGTATAACAAAGAAAACTGTGATTCCTACCATTCTCTTCATCTGCCGGGTGCATCGGGCGCAGTACCACACCAGGCGAGGGTCGTTCACTTCCTTGTCTGTCACCTGGGGCTTGTGGCAGTCCTGGTGGTAGAGATTATGGCACTCCTGACATTCCACTAACTGATTACCTGATGCCACCGTCATCTGTCTGAGAAAAATGTACCATTAAATATTACACATTCTTGGAAAAAGCAATTCAAAGTTCTCTCTTGGATGTTTTGGTAAATCTCTATAAATTTTTGCTCTTACTATAGAGCAAAAAGAAAGCCAGAAAGCCAAAGGAAATAGTGAGCCCTAACATAAACCCAGCATGCGTGCTTCACTTCTCTGAAGCTTATGTTTGACCATAAATACATCCGATGCCCGCAGCTGGGCTCACTGCTGGACTCTTATTCTTCCTACCGGAAGGCAGGAGACCTCGACTCTCCTTGTCCGACGGCCTCATGACACTTTTCTACCACCTCCAACACGCTCTTTATGCTAGTTGGCTGCATGCGGTTCTCCTCATTGGGAAGGAGTTCCTGAAGGTAGGTCTCAGCCTAACCATCCACAGTGCTTAGCACGCAGCTCTGCAGACACAGGGTGTCCAGCCAATGTCCTCATCAGCGGACCAGAATGCAGAGATACAGCTCTCAGGAAGGTGGGAGTTCTGATAGCACAAACAGCAATCTTCACAGTCTTAGATCATCACAGTAAGCCTCCCGAGGAAGGGGTCCATTTACTAGTTCTCTCCAAATTAAAACCCTAGCATTCATTGATAAATGCTAACTTTCATGATAGATAAAGGTGGAAATAACCCAATACATGTGAAACCCAGGAAGTCCCAATCCCGAGCCTGCTCAGAAGCACACCTGGCCCCTAGCACACCAGCTCTCTCCAGGTTCTGACAGCCTAGAGTTACTCAGTGAACCAGGACTTCACATTTCTCAGGCCAAGAGCACCAGAGACGGCAATCTTTTTTTCTGTGTTGGGCAACGAAAACCACTAACAGTTAAAGACTAGCTCCTGACAGAAGGAGTTCAAACCTAGTCATTTGATTTTAAAACTGTGTCTTCTACTAGGTAGAATTAACTGTTTTCATAATTATGCATCTAAATGTTAAAGTACCACTCAGAAAAACCTATATTCCTTTCATTTTTATTATCTTTAGGAAAAGACTTCACTGTGTTTTAGAAAATATATAAATTAGTTTTAATAAGTACTATGAAAAATTCAGAAAAGAAACAGGAACACAGACTTCTCAACAAGAAAGATGGAAAGAACTAAAGAGTAACAATGATCACCATCCCTCTAGAGCCCAAGAGGGCAGAAAACAGATTACAGAGCAGCAGCTAGGGCTGGGGTGCAGCTCGGCCACACAGCATGTGCATTGTGTGATCAAAACCAACAGCAACCACAATACAAAATCTGTAGCCACAGTCAGGAAGATAAAGCATTTGCTAATTTTCAGGATGTTAACTGTTACATGGGAAGTTCGTAAGATATAATCTATTTCTTCCATATCCCCCCAAAATAAAAACACATTAAGAAAACCCCTCACAATTACAGTGACCTTTTTGTAGGTGGAAGCTGTTTACTGTTTTTCAAAGAAACAACGGAATCTGTGGCCAGGTGCGACTCACCTACAGACAACGCAGGCCAAGCCCATCTCCATGGCAAAGTCATCGGCACTGGTCTCCTCGAAGCTGGAAAGGTCCGAGATAGCTAAATCCTTGCTGGTCTGGACAGTAATGGGAGAAGATCGTGTCTCTGGTTTCTCCAGCCTCGGTTTCTTTGGAATATCAACTCCTTCAGTGGTGTCTGCTTTCATCTATAACAAATAATCGATCAGAAATGATAATTAAAAGGGACACAGCAGAATAAATTATAAATCACCAAGGGACAGGGTGGACAGTGTGCAATGATCAAGTACATTTATGGGTATTTTCACAGAGCTGGAGACATAAACTACACCTAAAGATCTGTAGAACAGCTGTATTGCATTTATAGTCAGTATGTTGAAAAGAACTAACAAGATAGAAATAAATGAGTTGGAACAGCGAGGCACATATTTCTCTCTGTACTGTTCTACCTACTATGGACTTTTCAGAAGTTCGATGAATTTTTTTACACTGTCTTTTTTTCCCTAACAAAATGCTTTAACTTGAGCAATACTAGCATTAATAAAGTTATTTTTAAATACTTAAAATTACAAACTGCTATTTCAAATGTACTGAAAATGAGTAATAACAAGCTCTCCACTAGTCATCCAGAATGAATACATGGCCTTATTTTCTTCCAAACTAATTCTGGCTTCTTTAAATTATAAGTATTTTAGAGAAACCTGTTAGATTGGCAAAAATTAAATTGGAAAGACTTGCAGGATTTGAAATTCTTATATTGTACTTTGTTGGTGGGAATATGCATTTAGTATCTTTGTTTTGAATAGCAACTTAGCAACGCCTAGGAATGTACGAGATGTACATATCCTATTACATGCACTTACAAACATCTTATAAAAATATTAACATGTGCACAAAAAGATAAGCATGAAGCAGGTCAGATACACAGATGCTCACTGAGGTTCTATGTAGTAAGACAAACAAGAAATAACCCAACTGTTCATCAGCAGGGGAAAAGATGAACTGATACATTCACAGAACGAGAACTACGTGGTTAATTTTAGATCCACAGAGATCAACATAAATTTCAATAGCACATTGTTAAGAAAAGCAGTTATTAAACAACATAAATACATAGCAGATTACCATTTGTTTAAGTTTAAAAGCACAAAACAATATTTAATAATTTATGAAAAGCTACTACTTAGCACAAGGAAGGAAAACATGTGGTAACACATCCGACCTTCATGGTAAGGTTGCTGAAGATGTTTTTTAATGTCCTTTTTGTTAATTGCTAAAATCTTATTTAATATTTGCAGAAATCAACCAATATATAATCCAAGCATTATCTGTGAGTTTTTAAGGCCTTTTCCTTCAGGAACAAAGTTCATGTTTAGTCACTTACATTTTTTCTTCTTTCTCTCTCTCTCTCTCTTTCTTTTTTGAGACAAGGTCTTGCTATGTAGCTCACGCTGGCTTTGAACCCATTTGTGTCCTAGGCTGGCCTCAAACTCCCAGTGATCCTCTTGTCTCAGCCTCCTGGGCGCTGGCATCGCAGGTGAGCACCATCACACCCAGGTGTCCTTTATGTTCATGTTTTGGTTTTATATCCTGCCACATTTTACTTTTACTTCTCAACAAATATTCCAACAAGAAACTCTGAGGCACAGATTAGAGAACCCATTTGAAATTACTATATAAGAAGGGCTCAAATACTTGATAACGCTTCAGTAAATGGTTAAGTTTCTTTTATTCACTTTTCAAAAAAAATCAACATCTATGGCTATTAAAAAGTATTATCTGAGTGATTATTATGTACTTGTACTTACTACATAGAAGAAGCACACATACAACCTGGTTTCTTTCTGCCTGTGGAACAACTGACTTGCTTTCTCATAAACTAAGTTAGAACAAACCCTACCTTATCAGCAGGCCTCTTCTCAGCCTCTTTCTTGGCCTTTTCAGCCGAAAGCATTTTGCCATTGTTACTGACAGGAGGAAGACTGGATGACGTTTTGGGTTCTTGCTTAATAGAAATAGATTTTGTGCTTGAAATTTTGGGCGGTTCCACATCCTAAAGGGTAAAATAAAAAGATATCAGTAATTACTCAGACAATCTACCAAATGAAAAAGAATATATAGTAAATTTAAATAATTTTAAGCTAAAAATTAAGACACTATGTTATGGCCAGTATAGCACACTTTTTGAGGTGGCTGTGCTGAGAGACAACTGGCACACACGACTGTGCCTGTGTGAAGTGCAGAGTTTGCTAAGTGCTGGCACAACACTGTCCCTGCTACCAACACAGACAATGTGTAGGGCACTAACTTCCTGTGGCCCCGGCAGAGTCGAAGTGGACACCATCTCGAGCTTCTGATTAGAACTACAACTCCTCAGACTGTCCCATCTCCTGCTTCTCAGCTGGGGCCCCAGGACCCCAGATGGGGGTGACTTTCAGGGCCAGAGCTTTAGAAGGGTTGGGAAGAAAGTCTTAATAGGTATGAGAGACAACACAATATGCAGTCATAGGCCTATCATAGTGACTGAAGCTTTACATACTGTACCTACAAAATAGTTCTTATTCTTATTTTACCAGTAAACAAGAGGGGGGTGTTTCCTTGTTGTAAAAGGAAGAAAATGAAAAATACCTATATCAAAGGATCATTGTCACTTAAAATTAATGATCCACATGAACCACTTGGAAAAGTGCACGGCGTACAGAAAACATTCATGACCTACTATCATCATCATCATCGACTCTAAGAGCGAGGCTGGGATTTAAAAACGGTTTCACTTTGCAAAACAGGATTCTCATCACACAAGGCTGCTACCTCAGCTACGGTCATTAAGCTCCATAGCTCTAACTTCACCCAAATCTCCTTTTCTTGTGAATTATCTCACCCATATTTAATTCACTTTCTTGAAAATTTTTTACATTATTTTTTGTCCTTAAAAATTACAGATTAATTAAAAATTGTGGTTAAATCCAACAGCTTAAAAACAATTCTGTCCATAAATAGGTGGAAACTGAAGTAAATCATAAAGAAATTGATTTCTATACAGAGTATCCCCTGGCCAAACTAACTATTCTGTGTGCTGTAACAGTTCTCTGAAAGCCTGAGGGAAGACAAGAAAATGAAAGAATAATATTTTTGTGCCACAGGAGAGATACCACCGTGCTACTACTGCAAAACTGTCTCCCAGCTTTTTATTCCCGCACGAACCTTTTGAGTGGGGCGGTAACTTGAATCACTGCCCCGAGCCAAAGACTCATCAAGCAATGCTTTTAGCTTCTCAGCAGAATCTTTACTCTTTGAATGTAAAAAACCTAGCGCTTTCAAAAAAATGGGATCCAGTTCCAAGTTCACAGTTGCAGCCATTGCAAACACCTGGGAGGAAAAAAAAAAAAAAGAATGAAATAATTTAGAGATGGTATGCAATTATCTACATCATGGTTTTATCTAATTTGTTCTTTTGTGTATACAGTAATAGATATCATGCATGATATAAAATTTAAAATGTCCAAAAGATTATTATGCATACAAAGGAAACTTCTTTCTCATGCCTGCTGTCATCTAGTTTTCTTGTTTCCCTTCTGAAGCCACCAGCACCGTCAGTTTTCTGTGTCTCCATGGAAGGCAGTGTTTGATCAGACAGCATGTCTGCTGTGCCTAGAGAGCTGTTCTTAGAGATGTGTGCCCCTTTAGCACACTGTGCGCAGGTCAAGTTTACTGCACACCCAGGCTTCTTTTAACCGTATTTCCAACACAAAGGCAAAGGTTTAGGGAGCCTGTGAACGTGCTGTTGGGGAGGACACCCCAGGCAATGGTGCAAAGGTGCACCGAGTGACTGGCTGAGCAGTCACTGCTGCTCTTTGACTCCTTATCCCTCCACCCCAAATGTGAACGACTCAGAAAGTATGTTCAGGATAACCTCATTGGATCCCCAGTGACACTGAGGTATCTCACTGATAACTTATTTTGAAAGACAAAGGCTCCAGAGGCTGGCTTCACTTCCCCTACAGACACCCCGGAGACCCCTGGGAGCTGTGGCCCAGGAGCTCAAGGAATAAGCAAGCCGACTGGAGATAAACATCAAAGGCTTCTGGAGTTCTACAACACTGAACAGTTTTGTTTTCAGTTAATGCCAATGCTATCAGATGGTTCTGCTGGTTCTCACTTTTTCAAATTCTTCTCCAGGCAAGGAATTACTAACATAAAAAATGCACTCTTTGTATTCAACCCTTTGATCAACACACTGCCACTGAAATCCTCTTCTGTCCTCCAGGGAAGCGTAACAGTAACGCAGCACACTTGCACTGGCGCAGGTAAGGAGCTGTCAGCTGTTCCACAGCACTCTCCCACTCCCAAGGGCTTATCACGCCACTGACACCTGCTGTAGGTTGAGTCCTGGCATGTAAGGTGCAGGCTGAGAATGGATGGCTTATTCCTTCCCTTCTCATTCTCTCCAAATAGGACTGGACACACGCGCATGCACACACACTCACACACACTCTCCCTGGGCTTATTTTAAGTTTCCAAGAAGGTATCTATTTCATAACTTCAAAATTATTGTCACATTGTTTTCTCTTATAACAAAACTTCCTCAGCATACTATTGACTTTAGTGGGTTTTTTCCTTCATTGCTTCTGCTGATTCTGCAAATCCTACAACTTGGCCTTTGTACTACTCCAAGAAAATGTTCTCCCAAAGGCAATTCAATCTTACGCAAATCTAAATACTATTTTCACCTACTACTCCTTTCCCAATCTTCTTTGTAGGCTGCTCCTATTCCAATAAAAATGACACTATCCTGGGTAAAATCAGGTCTTTTCTTGTCTCACCCTATACCTCCTCCTCCCACAATTGTTCTCTGGAGCATCCGCTGGGAACAGAGAGAGGGGTGAACGCTGACCCCGGCTCCTTCGCCAGGGAACTCGGGAGTTGGGCCCAACCACCAGGCAATTCTGTTCTGCTCTACTGACCTAGATGATGTGATCTAGTTTTTTGCCAGTGATAAATCTGTTGCTGCAGCCCACGTTTCTCTTCCAAGATCTGCCAGCTGAACTTGGACATCTCATTGGGGCCACCTGTGGAACACATCCCTCACACGGTCATTCATATCCTCCTATCTCCCCGCCAATTCTTCTTCTAGAAATCTCTTTTTAATATATTTACCCCACTGCTCCTGTTAGAAACCTGGTAATCAGCTTTAACCTTCTCCCACCCTTTCTTCAAATTCAGTTACCTTTTCTAATCGTTACTGTTTCCACTCAAAATCAGTCTATTATCACCTATTTTCTGGTCCCCCAAAACTACTCTTGTTTACCTTCCAATTGTTTCATATCAGTCATGTATCATTGAAGTGTTATATTTGAACTGGGTCTTGACAGGGTTTGGAAATAAGAAAAAAGGATAAAGTCTTCCCAGAGAAAAAACTAATGCTATGCTAGCTAAGAGCTCTGCTGTAAGGAATATTGGGAATGACCAGTATTTATTTGAAATATTTTAATCACATCTTACGGTCCAAAAGTTAAAAAACAGAATTCTTCCCCCATCTCCAATGCTCTACATAATTTGGTATTACGCAAAGCACTTAGAACAGTGCTGACTCCAGTGTTCCCTGTATGTCACGCTGTGGCCACCTGAAGAATTTCAAGTCCTTGAAGTACACCTTTCTTTCCTCACTGCTTTAGTAGCAAATGCACTGTACCTGTCCTAGTTATACTTCAAGTTTCACTATTTTTCTGTACATTTCCTCAACACAAGTAGAAATCTTATGTTACATCATCCAAAAGTGGTATTAGGCACTACAGTGTTAGTTACAGAAATGACGCCTGTTTTTCTCTTTCAAATGTAAATGCTGCGAGGGCAGACACTGGATTGTTTTTGCCAATTGCTGTTAACTCACGTCTACCAGAGTGCCTGGCAACAGTGAGTATGTAGTAAACACAAGGCCAGGAAACACATGACAGGTACGCCTGCTGTCACAAGCCCGCCTCTCTGAGCTCAGGTAGGCTAGATTTCCTCTCCTGTCTCTGTTTCTCTCTCTGGCCCATCTTTTTTTTATCTCCGTTGTCTCAGTACTGCTCAGATCTATCCTGGCCTATCTTCTTCAGTTCTGCTACCATTATTTTCCTTGGTAACAATATTATGTCTTCAACGATGACTGCTACACAAATGATTTCACATGTGTTCCCCCCTTAGTTCAAATCCCACATTTCTAATTGTTTAGTAGACATCTTTACCTGGCTGTCCTAGCAGTATCTAAATGAGATAATCCTGAAAAGTTCCTTTTCTCACACTTTATTCAGTGAATAACAAAATTTTGTTAATCAGATCTGAGAGAGAAGTCTTCCCCCACCCCTCATATCTAATCACTAGGGCTTTCCTGTGGATTTTCCTGGACTCCACATTTCCCACACATCTCGTTTTCAACTGCACTGATACTATTCAAACTCTCAGCTAGCTTACTTGAATGATGCCAATAATCTAATTGTCTTTTACTTCAACACTAGTCATATTAATTTTCTGAAAAATCAACTTTTCTTTTTCTTTTTAATTTTCCTGCTGAAAAGTTAGACTTTCCACCACCCTCAAAATACAGTAAAGTCCAAATTTCTTAATCTATCATTTAAGAAGATTCATTAACTGACAAAAACTGTCACTCATTTCTCAGATAATCCTTACAGCAGAGCCCTTAGTTGGCACAACACTATAATTTTTCTCAGTCTGGGAGGACTTTACCCTTTTTCTTATTTCCAAATCCTCTCAAAACCCAGTTCAAACATAACATCTAATGAAGACTCTTGATAGCTATTGTGCTTTTTTCACCCCAAATCCTATCAGTAAGCTCTCCTTTTAGTATATTTTCTAGTGTTTCTTCATGGTATCAGGGCTTTCTATGTTGAACAATACTTTTTTTGCACAAGTTTTACACCATCCATAAAACAAATTACTTTAAGGGCTGGGGAAAGCATCCCACATAGCTCACTTGAGGGTTCATTTCTGCAAAAGGTAAAAGGAAACTCTGTCTCCTACCCCTAACAAAACCAAACATCAAAAAAGCAAAAAAAAAAAAAAAATTCTGTTTCATATTGGGAACTTGTACGATACAATGTTTATAACTATAATATATATATATGATATATATATATCATATATATGATATATATATATGTCTTTTTGAGACAGGGTTTTACTATGTAGTTCAGGCTGGCCTTGAACTCACTTTGTAGCTCAGGCTGATCTCAAACTTGCAATGATCCTCTTGCCTTAGCCTTCTGAGTGCGCACCACCACACTCCGCATAACTACAATACTCTTTCACCGGGCTGAAATTCATCTGTCCCAATAGGGTGTATACTTCCTGAGTAGGGACTTCCTTTGTTGGTGGTGTTCACTGTCATTTCATGAATCCCTGAAATGTGGCAGGCCCTTAAATATTTATTGAATGAATCAACTAAGTTTCTACTACTTGTCACTTTTTGGGCTTCTGTGATCTCTGTAACCTGAATTGGGTATTCATATATAAATACATGCATTCCCTTAGATCTCATTTTCCACCTTACTGGCCTATCTCAGAATGACTCTGAAGTTGATCCTTCTCTCTGTGCCCGAGATAAAGGAACCCGACAGTACAGTGCAACCTCAGGACTGTCATCTCCTGACAGCTCCAAAGAGCCTCCCTTTCCTGTCTCTTTGCAAGCTTCCGCAGTCCTTTCCAATAAACATTCTATCAAAGTCCCTCCACGGAGTGCCCGGGCGTGCCAGTGGCTTACACTGATACCTTAGGGACACACCTGGGGACGCAGGGCAGGTGATTCGTGCACCGATCCCAGCGCGGTCAGAGTGGCAGCGAAGCCGGGAAGCACAGGAGGCGACTCGAGGAAGCAGTGTCAACCTCCGACACTAGGAAGGCCTCACACAAGACGCGAGATGCTGGAAGCTGGGTCTGGGGACTGGCTGTGCCCGAGGACGGTCGGCGCGGGGTTCCGAGCCCCGAGGCCCCACCCGTGTCCTCACTAGCGTGTCCCGTCCACGTCGCCCTCGGAGGAGGCTTAGTTCTGGCTGAAAGTGGGGTGCGGCCAGGGTAGGGTGCGCACCCCAAGCCCCAAATGACTGGACTCGTCCCTGGGCGGCGAGTAAGCCAGGGCCACACGGGCTCTACGCCCCCTGTCCCTCGCGGGACCCGAGCATCCCCACTCAGTACTCACCTTCCCGCCCACCCGCCGTCCCGCGGGGCCGCCCCCGAACCGCTCCCCGCACGGCCGGCTTCGGAAGCCGGGAAACAAAAGTTCCGGCCTCGGAGCCGAGGGGAACGCTTGGCGGAGCGACAGCAGGAAGTGACGCAAATCGCCGACTTCCGGTCCGCCGGATTATGAATGAATGGTGGCGCGGTTGTTTTCCACACGAGGTTCCTGTTTTTCTGTGTGGCCAGCTCTGGAAGCCGGCTTTCGGCTGGCGGGAGCTTCCAGGAGGAGCCTCGGATCCCGGCTGGGGCTGTCGGGAGGACGTTGGCGGCCGTCACCTCCCTCCCGTGCCCACCCTGCCTGGCCGCGCGCCCCTGCGACTAGGTAAAGAGGGCGCTCGGGCCCGGGGTCCTGGGCCCCGCGACCCCCGGGGAGCACGGTCCCCTGGGCCCTCGGGCCGCGGCCTGGGCGGGCGAGGAGTACTGGGGTCCCGCTGTGACCTTCGCGGCCTCACGCCAGGCCCGCGCTCTGCCCCTGCGCTCGCGGGCCTCAGTTTCCCCCGCCAGTCTCACCTTCCTCTGCTGAGAGGGTAGTAGGTAGTTTGTGGTTCAGTGTATTGCAAGACCTTTTGGATCACACTTTTTTCCTCTCCCCCGCCCACACGCTTAGATTTTCCTGTACAGCCCTTCCTAGTTGGAGTAATCACTTTATGTGGCCACAGCAAAGGACTTGCTTCATCTGGGGACGTTTACTTATGGTACATCATCAAAGCAGTATTTCTCCAGGGTTATTTATCTATATAGGAAATGAATGTGTGTTTAACTTGGCTGAACATTTCTCTGACTTCAGTAATGTCCACTTTTCCATATACTTTCCATCCCAATTCTCCTGGCTTTGGAACTAGTATTTTCCTCTTTATTCTTGATGCCGTACATTCTTGACTGTCAAGAAAATGCCAACGTTTAAAATAATATATCTTGTGCTAACATCGATAAAGAAGGCGGTATACTTCTATAATATTTTTCCGGGTTTATCTATAAAACAATGTTTACAGGAGAGAAAGCAAAAGCTAACAAGAAGTAGCGACATGACAATTTTAAACATGTAAACACAGTCATTTAATATTGTGCTTAAAACAGCCGAATGATTTATTAATATTTAATAAACAGCTGTATTTTTAAATTACCTATTGGAGACCATACACTACTAAGACTATTTAAGCATTCTCACTGAAATGGTTTTTGAGGATACCTAGAGGCATGATTTAAGAGATTTAACTTCCAAAAGAAGACTTAAAAATCAGAAATTGGAGAATTGTCTTCCTTGCCTTTCATTGTGTTTCTTTTTTCAACAGTTCTGCATGTTTACCTACTCCTAAAAGAAGGTCAGATTTGTACTTCTGAGTCTGTGGTGTGTGCCTAAAATCCCAGTAGTGAGGGAGGTTTTGGAAAGAGGGACACAAGTGCAGTCCCGATGGGCAATACCTGCTCTCAAAATTTAAAGGCGGGCGGGGTGGGGGTGGGGTGGGGCGGTGGGTATGTAGATGCCTCCGGGTTTTATTTTCATTACTGGGCAAGGATGGGGAGTTGAACTTTGTGTAGTATTGAACTGATCAACATTTGTTTTAAACATATTTTCCTTTTAGCTTTTATATCATTACCTATTTTGAAATAAGATTATTTAGTATCTGAATTTGTAACAACTTAGCAGACTTTGAAACAAATTCCGAGTCTTAGCCACCTTACCTAACTGTAGTGGATGTTGTTTTTAATCCTCAAACACTGGATTCAAAGTAGCTTACTGAATTCTGTTATGATTAGTACTTGCCCTGCAGAAATTTGAATCATTTAGATCGTAACAAGTACAGTTGGTTTTTGCTGTGGAAATTTAGTGGTTTCTTTCTCAGATGACTCCCCCCCCCCCTGTTGTTTCTAAACCTGTTGGTGTTTCAGGCTGTGATCTCTGTTAATTATGAAGCCGGGCTCAGCTGTGAGCATTCTGACTCCATGGCAACGGATGATTCCCTGAGTCTCAGAGAGATCACAGGCTTCTTTTATGACTAACGTCACAATAAGCTTTTTTTACTTTAAAACTTCCTCAAACTTTTTGCTCAGATAAGGGAACAGCCAGTTTTAATAGTAAACTTTGTCCTCTAGCACTTAATTATATCCTGCCCTGCATAAAGTAATGAGCTCTAGTAAAGCTCCGGTTTTCTTTTTTCTTGTTTGATCTTTAGTATTAAGGTTGTTATCTGTTATCTCCGGGGAAGTGAGGTGTTTTGTTTTTAATCTATGTTACTGCAATAAAATAAGATGGGATTTGCAAGAAAATGGTTCTGATTCATGAAAGCTATAGGAACTAAGTTTTAATATTCAAAATGCTGAAAAATTGGTATAGCAGGGAATTTAAACAGGTTTTTCAACTTTTAACACAGGAAAGTTTGTAATCTTTTATGCTGTCTACATATTATAATTGGTTAATATGTTGGTGGACTTACGGATTTCAAATTTATATGCTTTAAAAAAAAAAAAAAACCTGTTGCTTCCAGCCTTAGTTAATATCTGAAGGACAAAATGTTTCAGCATGAATCATCCACCTTTCCTAGGAAAAAATTTGGAATTATAAAGCATATTTTGGGTTTTATACCTGAAAGTGTGTGTATTTTAAAAATGTGAGCGGGTAAAGAATTTGGGCATAAATTATAAGTGAATAATAAAAGCTGAGAATTTAGCTAACTCAATAGCAGTATGTTTGCCCATCACATACAAGACCCTGACTTTAATCCCCAGCACTTTTAAAAATTAAAACAATGGTAGTATTTATTTAGGAATTTACTACTTGATGGTCATTGTTCTGTTCTCAGAGCTCAGTATATGAGGTACTATTTTTTTTGTTGTCCTTTATAAATTAGTAAATTATGCTGGAAGTTATAGCAAGGGTTTGAATGTAGTCTAGCTGAAGAGGCTGGGCTTTTACACATTGCTTTATAATTCCTGCATACACGTCTCTCCTGTGTAGAATCTAGGTTCTTTTGCATATCACTCACATACAAATTTTTAGTGTCACTTGTTTTTTTAATTAGATTTATTGGTACCTTTTAGTTATCCATCGCAGTCACATTCATGATAGGGGATTTGTCCCTGTATGTGATAGAACTTGATTCTTCATTTTTTCTGATTCCCCTACACTCCTTCAACGCCTCCCTTCCTTTGCTTTGTTTCCATTTTTTCCTACTTAACACTTTCTTCTTTTCCCTTCCTCCCTTCCTCATACTCCTTGTCTAGATCCCCTTCCCGTTTGAACATTTTCTCCCCATTTCACTGAATCTGTTATACATTTTGGCCCGTATTTACACTTTTGGTATCTCACATCAGAAAACCAATGTGGCATTTACATGTGTTTCTGATTTATTTCACTTTAGAGTATGGTCTCAAGATGCATCCATTTAGCTATAAACATCTCAAGCTTATCATTCCTTATGACAAATAGTACTCCATTGTATAAAAAAAAAAACACATTTGCTTTAGACATTCATCAGTTGATGGGAATTTGGGCTGTTTCCAAGACTGAGCTTTTACGAACTGTGCTGCTATAAACATGGTTGCACGTATAGTGCTGTGGTATGATAGTTTTAATTTTTTCAGGAAGCTATCAAGAAGAGAAATAGCTAAGTCAAATGGGACCTCTCGTCCTAGTGTTTTGAGGCTTCTCCACTCTGATTTCCACAATGGTTGTTCCCAGTGGGGAAGAATTCCTTTTTCCCCACAGCTGATCCAGCATTTGCTTGGTTGATTTCCTCCTGATAGCCATTCTTTGTGGAGTGAGGTGTATTCTCAGCATTTAATTTGCATTTCTCATATGACCAATGATGTACATGTTTTTCATATATTCATTTGCCATTTCCACTTCCCTGAGAAGTGTCTATTTCAGCTGTCCATTTTTGGATTGGGTCTTTGAGTTTGTGGGGATCTGATTTTTCTGAAGTTTTTTCTGTATATATTTGGTCTTTTTGAGATAGGGTCTCACTAATGCAGTTCAGGTTGGCCTGGGGCTCACTTTGTAACCCAGACGGATCTCAAACTTGCAAATGATTCTCCTGCCTCAGCCTCCTAAGTGCTGGGATTACAGAAATGTATCACCACACCCTGCTTTATCTTAATATATTCTTAGCAATAGTCCTTTTAAGGAACAGGTGATAAAATATTTTCCCCACACTATGAGTTATTTCTTCATTCTGTTGATGCTTTCATTTACTGTGCAAAAGTTGTTTAATAAGATGAAACCCTGTTGTTGATTCTTTGTAATACTTCCTGTGTGATTGGGGTTTTGTTCATAAAGTCTTTGCCTACACCAATATCTTCAAGAGCTCTATGTATTCTCTCTTCTAGCAGAGTTGGTGTTTCCTTTTTAATATTAGGATCTTGATCCATTTCAATTTTAGTTTAGTGCACGGTGAAATGTATGGGTCCAATTTTAATCTTCAACATGTATAGGGCCAGTTTTTCTAGCACGACCTATTAGAGGCTGTCTTCCAGTGAAGGTGTTTGGCACCTTTATGGCTAAGTACGTCTGGAGTTGTTTCTGTGTCTTCTAATCTGTTCCATTGATCCTTGGGTGTGTGCCCCCCCCTGCCGCCACCGTGCCATCCTGTTTTTATCACAGTGGCTTTGCAGTGTAATTTCAAGTCAAGGATTGTGATGCCCTCTGTCTTGCCTTTGTTGCCCAGAGTATCTTTTATATTCTAGGTCTCTTCTGGTTCCAGATGAATTTTTAGATTGTTTTCTCTAATTCTGTGACATATGCTGTTGGAATTTTGATCAGCATTGCTTTAAATCTATAGCAGTTTTGGAAATATGACCATTTTCATTACATTGGTTTTTCCTACCCAAGAGCAAGGGATGTCTTTCCATTTTCTGATACCTTCTTCAATCTCTTTTTTCAGGGTACTGTAGTTTTCAGTATAGAGGTGTTTTAGTTCCTTTGTTAGATTGTTAGTATTTTGTTTTTTTGGATGCTATTGTGAAAGGTGTTGTTTCCCAAATATCTCTCTCAGTAAATTTATTCATGTACAGGAGTGCTGTTGTTTTTTGAATGTCGACTTTGTATCCAGCTATGCTACTGAATTTGGTTATTAAATCTAGAAGTATTTTTGTGGACTCTTTGGGGTCTTCTATATAAAGTATCATGTCATCACAAATGATAATTTAACTTTGCACTTTCCTATTCATACTCCTTTTATTACTGGTATACTTGCTCTGGCTAGTGTTTTCAGAACTATACTGAATAAAAATGATGACAGTGGACATTCATGTCTTGTTCCTAATTTTAGAGTGAAAGCTTTCAGTTTTTGACCATTTAGTATGATGTTGGTTATTGGTTTGTCAAATAGGTGGCGCTTTTTTTTTTTTTTTAATATTAGGGATTGAACTTGAGACCTAGTGCTTGCCAGGCGGGCACTTATGCCACTGAGCTAAATCTCCAGCTATAATAGATGTCTTTTATCAGATTGAGGTAAAGACTATCCCAACTTTCTGTAGAATTGTTATAATGAATGCATATTGGGCTTTGTCAGACATGTTTTCTGCATCTGTTGAGATGATCATATGGTTTTTGTTCTTGGCTCTGTTAATATGATGTATTACATTTATTGATTTGCATATATTAAACCATCCCTGCATCCCTAGGATGGTCCCTACTTGCTCATGGTGTATATATAATCTTCTTGATGATTTGCTGCAGTCTGTTTGCCAGTGTCTTACGGAGAATTTTTATCTCTATGTTAATAATGAGATTGGCCTGTAGTTTTCTTTCTTTGTTGGATCCTTCTCTGGTTTTGGTATCAGGGTAATGCTTGATTCCAGGAATGAATTTGGGAGTATTGCTTCCCTTCCAATGTCGTTAAAGAGTTTAAGAAGTAGTGGTATTAGGTCTTCTAAACTTCTTATAGAATTCAGCAATGAATCCATCAGAACCTCGTTTTTCTTTGTTTTTAGGCTTTTACTTATATGTTCATTTTCATCAACTGATACTAGTTTATTTACAATTTTTATATCTTCTTGATTCAGTGTTGGTAGTTCATATGTATCTAGTAATCTGTCCATGTCTTCTGCAATTTCTATCTTTGTAGAATACAAGTTCTAAAGTAAGTATAGATGATCTCCTGAAGAATCTGTTGTGATTTCACCCTTTCCATTCTAAGAGTTTGTTGATTTTATTTAATCTTTCAGAAAAACAACTCTTTGATTCACCAATTCCTTGTATTGTTTTCTTTAGTCTCCATTGCATTAATTTCTGCTCTGATCTTAACAATTATTTCCTCCCTTGTACGATCTTTAGGCTTGGCTAGCTCTTCTTTTTCTAGAAGCTTGAGGTTCAACATTAAATTAATTTGAGCTTACTCTGTTTTCCTGATATTGGTGTTCACTGCTATGAATTTCCCTTGTTGGACCACTTTCACTGTGTACCATAAGTTCTGGTATGTTGTATCAGCATTATTGTTTAATTCACATAAGAATTTGTATGTTTTCTTTATTCACAAATTTGGGTGGATTCCAGATAAAGTTTTTCTGAGTCAGCTCACAGAATGATCTTATTTCATTTATATTTACAATTAGTTGGCCTTTAAAGAAGAGACTCACTCTTGATTAATTTGCAAGAAAAAGAATGGCAGAATGAAGCTTCTAGGAAGACTAAGCTCCTTGATAGTGCTATTCTGAAGAAAGTGATTATTGAGGTTTATTTGTAGATTTATTGGGTAACCATACCACAAACTAAAAACAGTACTACTAAGCATTGAAGATAAACTGTCAGATGTTCAGTACTGTGAAGAAAAAGCCAGATGAGAGTTACGTTTAGCAGCAGACAGAAATATGTTTAGGTGGACACGTTGCTGCATCCTGTAGTCCTGTACTGGGGAGGCTGAGGCAGGAGGGACACTGCGAGTTTGAGGCCAGCCTCTGGCTATATAATGAGACTTAGTCTCAAAAACAAAAAAACAAAACCACATGTGGTTATTCTTTTATGTTTGCTGTTCTGTATCTTTTTGTGTGTTCAGGTACATGCATGGAGTGTGGCTTTTACACCTACAGTGATAGGTTTTGCACAATTTACACTCATTTTCTTTTTCATATATGAAATGTTTTAATTTAGCCAAGCCAAGATCATTAATTATAATTAGAGCACAAAAAGTTTAAATGCCTCAATGTTAAATGGTGATTAATGCAACAGTTAAACATATCTGAGGGTTCCCAAGGAATGAAGCCAATGGAGCTCCAGTATTTTCCCTTGACCTGCTTAATTCCAGTTGGCCTGTCCAGGGAAGAGACTCACTCTTGATCAACTCTGTTCAGGTCCTGAAGCTGGCGGTTGTCTGGGGCTTTTCTCCTCCTGGCAGTGACTGTAGCTAGCATCTGGCAGGACTGAGGAAAAGCAACCAGCACCACCACTATGCTTGGCAAGGATGTGGTACAGAGAGAGCAGCAGGGGCTGTGACCCGGGACTCGGAGGCCCAGAAGTCGATTCTCTAGTTCCTGCCTTCTAACACTCGCAGTGTACAGTGAGTGAACCAAAGGCTTCTCAGGGTACTAACAGAAGGAAAAAAGGGAAGAGAAATGTCTACGGTATTTTTAGGCTTCCAGCAAAAATTACGTTCTCCTCTCAAAGATATCAAATGTGTACAGCATTGTAAATATTCAATGCGTGTTAATACATTTCAGAGACAAATTGCCTGGAGAGAAATTTTTTTTTTTTTTAATTCCAAGATCACTGGGTAACACTTGCAATCTGCAAGAAAAAAAACATCTACACTGAAAAATACATGTTAAAAATCAACAGTACTGGGCTGGGGATTTAACTCAGCAGCACAAGCATCTATCTGTCTGCCTGGCAAGTGCGTGTTCATGAGTTCAATCCTTGGTACAAAAAACCAAACCAAAACAAAAAAACCAACGGTACTTTACATTTTTATTAGGCATGCCACTAATTTTTAGATTTCACATGGGCAGACCCTGCTATACCATTTTGCTGACATTTAATCTAAAGTGCTCACACTGAGAGGATTTGTAGAGAATGTTTAAAAGCTAGCTTTTACATTCTTAGGTGCCTTGGAAAGTGGCAATTGTACATGTTTCTCATCTATCTTAAGTGCTATAAAATAGAAGTATTGTTTGATGTGTTTTGAAAGGCATTAGCAGGACTAGTCTCTTAGTTACTGTTTCCTAAACTGTTAGGCAAATAATTGATCATGTCTTTTTCAAATTTGCCTTTTGGAAACACTTAGGAATTTTCTTCGTTTTATCTCAGTGTCAGGAGAGTGAGTCAGACTGGCAAATTAATTAGCGAAGGATTTCTAGGGAAATCTGAAAAGCAACTAGCAGTTCCTAGAAAGTGGTTAGTTCTTTTCTCCTGTGAACTTTCATAAATAAATTCCAACTCTGGGTGCCAAAACCAAAAAGTTAATTAAGCTCAGAGGAAAATGGCTTCTGTGAGTTAATGGGTCATTGTTTTTCAGTTATATAAAATAAATTTTCCTCAGTCTTTTTAAAAAGTCACCATTGTATAAATCTGCTATATTTTAATAAAAAATTAACTGGATTATTTGTGTTATCAAGAAGTTTTTGAAGATGGTGGTTTACTAACTGTATTATTTTTTGTTTCTTGGTATTTTTGACACAGGATCTCACTACGTAGCTCAAATTGGCCTTGAACTTACTCTGTAGCCCATGCCAGGCGCAAACTGTATTTTTTTGGTAATGGATTATAAGCTCTTTAATAAAAAACAATTGGAAACCAATAAGCTTAAAAAGTGATGACTCTTGCTTTTGAATGAAACAATAAAACCTAAAAGAATTACAATTTAACATACAATTTAGTATTTTGAAGCTTCCCTAGACCTCACAGATTTATTAACATTTCAAATGTACATCAAAGACAAAATTACATGGGTACTTTTTAAAGGCTTTAAAAATTTTTTTTCCCATCTTACCTGCTGCCTTCCTGTCGTGTACCTCCCTGTGAATGCTTTTAAAGAGTGCCATCTAGTGTCATTTTTGAAGTTAGGATTTATGGATTGGAATGTGGACCCAGGAAATGTTTGACTCAAATGTAAAAACATCATAATAATTGACGAAAACCTTAAAGGAATAATTTGACCTCAACACTGTGTGTGCATCTTTAAAGTAATCAATGTGTGGGCTCCTCCATGCATTCGTTTAACAAATGGTTCTTTGTTATATAAAAATAGGTAAAGCAGGCCTGTTTCAGGCACAGCAGTGAATAAAAAAACACCCACTCTGATGGAATATTCTGATTGGGGGAGACAGTAAAATAAATAGTATGTTACAGTATTCATAAGTGCTGTGGAGAAAAATGAAGCCTAGAAGGGCATGGAAAGAGTCTGCTTTTTCAGGGAGGATGGGCTTGGAGTTTGCTGTATGAAAGTGTATCACAGGGACGGTCACAGTAAGGACTTGCCTTTGGGTAGAGAAATGGATGTGGGGAGTGTTTCAGGGTATCGAAAGACTAAGTGGGAACCTGGAAGTGGGGCTGTACCTAGAGTTTCTGGTGATTAGCTGTCTACTTTGTGTGTGTGTAGGAAGAGGTGAGCAGGGACAACAGGAGAGTTAATGAGGTGAACTCAGGAGATGAACACAAGGAGAGATCTTTATATGCCATAGCAGAAGCTTTGGATTCTCTAAGAGTAGGATGGAAGGAATTGCCTCAAGCTGAACAGTGGCATTTCTTCATTTTTAATAGAATCATGTTGACTGCCACGTTAAGAACAGACTAAATGAGGAAGTGCAGGCAGAGTCTGGGGGAAGTTGCTGTCCTATGGAAGAGCTGGCTGTGGCCTGGGTCACAGTGAATGCAATGGAAATGGTGTGAGATACTCAGGTTCTGAATATATACTAAGGACAGGAGCCAAAATGCTGTTAATGCACTGATTATGGGGATACGACCAGCAAGGGTGATGAAGAGCGCAGTCTGCAAGCAAGCAGCAAGATGTACTCATGTTCAAGTCACTGAGTATGCAGCTCCCCTGGGGCCAGGTACTTAACTCAGCAGCACAAGCGCCTGCCTGGCAAGCAGGAGGTCCTGAGTTTGATCCCAGTACCAAAATAAAAAACAAAACCAAAAAAACCACCCCTAAAGCTACTTAACTGCACAAGGTGGAGGAAATTTTTCTTTGGGCAGCCCTTTCACTGTTGATGAACAGATTCGGTTAACATCATTATCAATTACAAATCCTTACTGATTTCTAGACTAGGCTTCTAAAATGCTCGTCTTTTTATTGTCAAAATTGTTATATTGTAAGGCCTGTAACCTCATCATTTTATGCTTTAGGTGACTCAGCGAAAGAAGAAAATGAAAGGCCTTAAGAAAAGTCTTACAAAAGAATATCTGTACCTTGACTTTTCTCACCAAACAGAAGGATGCATTCTTCCTCTTCATACCTCCGTGACTTTATTTTTGTTATCATACTGCGACTGCAGAATCTTTGAAGTTTGCTTGGTCCTCACCAAGGAAGGTACAGATAGTTCACTAAGAGATGTGCTGTCCCAGGACATTGAAATCCAACTTATTTCAAGGCAAGAGCTTCCACCAATAGTCCAGAGTTGCTGTTTACCAGCGGTAATGGAACAACCGGACAATTTCTGTAGAGCAGGACTTGCTGTTGTACTGAGACACATAATCCAGAAATCGTATGAAACAGACCCCTCCAAAAAGGAAATTTTGGAACTTTTGGGCTTCAAAAAGACTTGTTTGAAAGCCTGTGCTGAAGTAAGTATAGACTTGTCTTTCTCCGCTGTCACTTAAAGCTACAAAGTAATGGTAATTCCCATGAGCAATTATTTTAATTTCCTAGAACAATTATTTTAACTTCTTAATAGTAATTCCTTTTAGCATTTATTTTAACTTCCTGCTGGGAATGTCAGTCATAGTGACCAATGAAATAATTGAGGTCGTCCTTCAAATGTGTCAGTATTTCAGTATAATACCGAGAAATAAGAATTTAAGATTTAATTTATGAAATATGGAGACATTATTCTTAGAAGATGACTTCCTTTTTATCCTTTATTTACACTGAGAATTTTTAGTTTTACATATAAACAGGAGCTCAAATAGCAATGCTTTGGAAGCCCTACTTTATTTTTTGCCGGGGAGGTAGAAATGATTTTAAAGACTTTGTGAAGTAATAATAAATTCAGCAAGAGGACACCAAAGGGGGAACTTCCATTGCTTACCAATTTCACTTCTAAAGCACTGGGACGTGTTTCTTGGTATACAGCGTAAAAGTCTATCCCACAGATGGTTTAGCTCCAGCTCCAAATTCTCCAAACCTGTTGCAGTTCCCAGTAAGACCGTTCTTTTCCTTTAGGCCACTTTGCGGTAACAAGTCCTCCTTACTGGTTTTGTCCCGCAGGTCAGCCAGTGGACCAGGCTGTGTGAGCTTACCATCCCTCTGGCTATTGAGAATTTCCTCAGAGCGTCTTCAGAGCAGCCTGCCGCCATCCCTGTGGAGATTCTGCAGCTGGAGAAGAAGCTGAGTGAGCCTGTGAGAGTACACAACGACGACAAGCTCCGCAGGCAGAAGCTGAAGCAGCAGAAGGCGGCCAGCGTCGAGCCTGCCCAAGGGGCTAAGGGACATGCGAAGAGCCAAGTCCGTCCTCAGGAAGCCTCGGAAGAGCCAGACCCCGCATCCCAGAGCCTGGAACTGAAGGTGGCATTCTCGAAGCTCACAGTGCAAGAAGGGCCAGCCGCCACCAGCAAGGAGCCTTCCCACATCCGGAGGGCCAGAGCCTCGGACCTTCCTCCCCTGGAGCATGTGTTTGCAGAAGGGCTTTTCTTCACCTTGGCAGACATCGTGCTCCTGCCCTGTATCCACCACTTTCTGGTAAGGTTTTACTTGGCGTGTGTATGCTACCATGTGTTTGGGTCAGTGAAATTACTTAGATCTGATGTCCAGTTCTACTTCTTACTTTTGTGCATCTGGGCAAATTGTCTTCATTTTTTTTTTTCTGCAAAGCAGAGATAATGCTGTCTCTCTGCTCTAGTTTGGATCTTGAATAGTCCCCAAAGATTCCTGTGTTGGAGGCTTGGGCCTCAGCCTATGTTGCAGTTGGGAAGTGGAGGAACTTCCAAAAGCAGGCCCTAGGGGAGGGAAGTCAGGTCACTGGGTCCTGCCTGTGAAGGAAACCCTTCCTGTCTCCATCAGGTGAACAGGTTTCCTCCACCCCATGTTCCTGCCATGGTGTTATGCACTGCCACAGGCCTACGCAGGGCCAGGTGCATGATCTGAAACCTTGAAACTGTGAGCCACAATAAATCATTTTCTTTATTACGTTGATTTTCTCAAGTATTTTGTCATAGTGATGGAAAGCTGACTCTAATGTGATCACTGTAAGGAACAGAAGAAATAGTATAACTTTTAATTTCAGGTGGCTAAAATGTTAGCAATTTTTGTTGTTATTTCAATTGCTTTTGAGATTACATTCTTAGGAGGGCCTAGAATTAAAGAAAAAGACTCTTAACTAAAAAAATCTTGCCAGCTATATTTTATGGTCACCTATAGTAGTAATTCTATGATGGTAGATATACCAATCAGATGGGGTCTATCTTTATCTTGTGTGTGCCCCAGTTGTCCATTTGATTAAAAGCTATTCTCTAATATGGGAGAATATAGATGGAAAGTTTCTTTCCTGTGAGGGAGAGCTGTCTATATTTATCTCTTCATATATTTTTGTCCTGTGTGCAGAAAAACAGAATACAGTGTAAACAGTATCAGCGCATACACAGGAAGCTGGCTTGCTGTGGCCTTTGAGTTGGCTTCCAAGTGCTGCATTTTTCTTGCTTTGAAGCATTTTACCCGCAGGCCTCCCAAGGAATCAGATGCCAAGTGTCATTCTTTTTACAGACCACCGCCACTTCAGGCATCTCTACTGATAGATGAGGAAAGACTTAATGATGCAAATCTATACATTGGGAGACCTGTACTTCACTAATGACTTAAGCAATGTAGGTCAGTTGCCATTGCGTAAAGAACCTTCTGTTTTCTCCAAAACTGAAAGCAAGACTAGCAAAATATTTCAAGATTAAACAATGTGAGAAAAGGGAGTTGAGGACCATGCCAAGTGGGGAGGACGCACCGGTTTTTCTCGTGGTCAGGTGATTTGCAGACCCTCTGATCCCTGACTTAGCGCTCTGTCGCCAGCTTCAGTCCCTGGAGCAGACAACTGTTGCACTGTGAAGTTCTTGGTGTTCATGACTTCTCTGAGTAACTATTGTCTTTAATTTATTGATAACTGAATCAAAGTGGCATTCCCATTCATTCTCTGGACAATCTTACTGAAAACCTGTGGCGTATGTCAGGCAGTGTTTACACACTAGCATTGCAGTAGTGAACAAGACAGATAAGGTTCCAGCACTCATGGAGTTAGTATTTCTAGTGGAGAAAGAGAGCAGCCAGTAGACAAATAAATAATATTTGCATAAAATAAGGGAAACTTGTATACTTAGAGTTTTCTATGCTTTTTGACATTTTATATGTAAATTAGTGCTTAAAATAGTTTCCTTTATTCCTTTGTATTTTTCCTGGATCCCCACATTTTGTTTCAGGAATTTATCTTTCTTTGCCAAGGCTTTGATGTTGCTTCTGTTTCCCGCCTTTAAGTCATTCTGGTAATGTAGCCATCGTGTTTCATACAGTGGCTCTGTTGCCAGGCCTTGTGCTTGTGTTAGCACACATTGAGGAGAATGGAGTGCCAGTCCAGATGACCAGAATCAGGATCAAATGAGTGGTTATAATGGTTGTACCGGCTTTGGATCAGAAGCCCAGACTGAACCCAGAGTCAGGGTAGGTAGCCAGCCGCAGGAACGAGCTACTGGATGTGAAAGAGCACAAACATTATGCTAAGCCAAGGTTGGATTTTCAGGGGCACAGATGAGGAGGAGTAAGGAAAATACCCAGTTTTGCTAAGTCCAGTGAGACTGAAGGTACAGAACAGTATCAGTTTGGTTGGCTGAGTTGTGTATAAATCTGTTCAAAGTTTTTCAGTGGGTTTTGGTTTGCAAAGTTAATCCCTGATGTCCCAAAACTCCTTCATGGCAGTAGCCTTGAATAGCATCTTCCATGGAATGTTGTAAGAATAGATTAAAAAGGAGTAAATTAGCAAACACTTCATTGTCTTTCCCTTAATTGACTTGCTGGGACCATCTCGTAGGTCCTACGTGAAGCAAGTGGAAGAAGCGACCGTGAGGAGCTTTGCTAGGGCAAAGTGGTTGTGTTCCAGCAGCAGGACACTGTGTACAGTTATTCTTTCGTTGCTCAAGTACACTTTGGTAGAACTAATTAAAAATTTTACTTAAAGGAAGATACCATTTTTATGAAATTCTTTTGTAGCCTGAGTACATAGGCTTTGCTGCATTTTGACTTCTAATACTTGAATTTATCTTTACTAAATAAAATAAAATCATTCCTATTTTAGACATTGATTTTTGAGTAGAAATACCTCACCGCTTGAGTAAACACCTCTTTCAATGTCCAAGGTGAACGAAGGGGGATCTATTTGCTGGCATATTTCAAAATGATAGATGCCTCTTATTTTGTGGTAATTTTTTGTTTTCCATCTGCTTTCCTATCCATTAAATCCTGAAGTACGTTCACTTTTAATCCCCTCAATCCAATCAGTGAGTAAAATGTGTACAAAGCTGGCGGTGTTTTTTTCCGTTTGCTGCCTGGGTTGCTATTTTTCTATCCTCACTGCTCACCTAGACCCTTGTGAGCTGTGACTGTTGGCATGAGATTAGGCAAGAGGAGACGGTACAAAGCAGGCACCCAACACATTATGTAGTCAGCAATCAGCAAGGGAGACAGAGGAGACAAAGGAGAAGCGCTACACAGTGTGACGTCTTCCCTTGTCTTTTTACTCAGACACGTTTTTCTGCCTCTTGTTTACAGCTAACTGCAAAGCCACGAATTTTCATTTCATGCTCTTGCTACAAATAATTTTTAAACTATTGCTTTAAGAATCTCTTTTCTTGTCTTTAAGCAACTCTGCTATTTGTAACAGTTTTCATCTTAGACCTTTTTTGTTGCTTGGTAGTCATTTTTTTTACAAACAATTTTTATTCGACACAGGTTTCATTAACCATTTCCATAAAGACCCCTTTAGTAAGATGAATGTGGTCCAGCTACTCCTGAGCTTTCCGCGTGATCGTGGAGTGGCCTGACAAACTGAGTGATCTGTTACACCGAAGGAAACTCAAGTTTTTCTTTTATTCTCTTTCCTTTTGCTTTTTTCTTTTTTTGCTGTACACAATAGGACCTCTGAAAATTCCTTTTTTTTAAAAAAAATCTGTGGCAAACAAAGTATGAAAGCAGTGTAGTGTGTTAGCCCAGCCTCTCATCTAAGCCCCAGTACCACAAAAATGAATGAATGATCATGGTATTGACTTCATAACCTCCTCGTGGGCTATAAATAGCAATTTGAGAAATACTAATTTAGAAGTTTGTCTAAAGATACAAATAAACCCTTGATTGTTCGATCGCTCACTGAACAGAGTATTATTTGCAAAGCTGTGTTTTAAGTGTTGAGAGTAGTCAAAGGCAGTAGGTACTAGGTAACCTCTGGCCTTATAAGCCATAACCTTAACGTCCAATAAAAATGTAGAAAAATATATATGTGTAGGAAGTTTGTTGAGAATTTTCTGTCCTTTATGGTTCATGCTATAGTGCCAGTTTCTAGATGTATTTGTTGATATTTTCTGTGATGTGACCTTTTATCTTTTTGTTCCTCAATGTGAGTCTTAATCTGTTTGTGACATTAAAGTGGTTTCTATGGAAACAAATTCAATGTCTCTTGAAGAAGAGAGTACCTAATTTTGAAAGAAACTAGCTTGGTTATATTGCTAGGGAGAAAGCATCTGACCAAAAGAAAACAAAAAGATGTGATTTTTCACCGGGACTAGCGGCTTCTAGTTGAATAAATGAAAGCCTGGTTTAGGGGCTGCTTTACAACAAGCATCCCTGAGGAGGGCTGTGGCTTTCTCTGTTATCAGTGGAGGGTTGGTGCTGAGGCCATAGACCATACAAGCACAGGTGTTCAGTGTGCACACTGACACAGTTCAATGCCTGTGCATTTAGACCAAGCACTGGGCCTCCTTGCCATATCCAAACAAGGTGAGCCAGGAAAACTAGCACCAATTTTCTTTTCCCTCAGTTTCACAAAATTTATTCTTACCTTGGATTTCAGCAGCCTCAGCATACACATTTTTTGTTCTAATTAGGCCTAGAATTTGCACTTTTCACTTAAAAGTAGCCCCTACGGCCTGGGTTTGGCATGCTGAACTGCCAGCACCATCACTGTTGGTTGTGTGTAGAGACGGCCTCAAGTTAGATGAGGCTCACTTTGACCTGAAGCCCTGCAGTGCCAGGTAACCAGATGGCTACCAAGTGTGCGGGAAGCTGGCGGCATACACTGCGTGAATATGATGGATGGGGTGATTGCAGTGAGATGACAAAGTTACATCTTGGTGCTCAGCAGTTCGCTGTTTAACACTTAGGCACTGTTCATAGAACTTTCCATTTAGTATTTTTGGATCAGAGTTGATGGGTAACCAAAACCTTGGAAAACAAAGTCATGGATTGGTGGAGAGCGGCTACTGTAGTTCTCTTTTTAGTTCTAAATGTTTATGATTTGGCTTTTGTTATTTTACATTGGTGACATATTCTCATCTTACCAGTATCATTTTAGTCGATCTTTAATGATTCTGAATGGTGTTTCTTACATTATTTTAAGCTAATATTGTTTAGATTTTACATAGAATATTGTTCATAGATTCAGAGAAAATTCACACAAAAAATGAGAATGCAAACTCTGCTCCATATTTCTCCAGTGAACTGCAGATTTTTCATTGAGATTATTTAGAATATATTAATTTATAGGTGATAGACCTCAAACTACGATAATTTTAAAACGTGACATAATTTTAAGGAAATCAGCACTTCGGCTTTTTAAATTCTTCATGAACAAGTTCAGCAGCTAATTTCATGGTAAGTATAAATTAAATATGTTTTTGATGTAATGCTATCTGTTTAGTCCCCTGTGTTCTGCATGTTGAGAACCTATCAAAATCTAATGGGGTTGGGAACAGTGAGACGTGCTCTTGGCCGAGAATTACAGATTTGGGGAAAGATGTTTGAAGGTGGTGGAGAAGCGTCCACTGCGCTGGGTGTGGGGGTCAGGCCTGCGGTGGGTACAGCTCCCAGTGAGGCTGAAGCAGAAGGATCACAAGTGTGCACTCAGCCCAAGCAACTTGGTGACCTGGGAGACGCTGTCTCAAAAGAAAAAAAAAAGTTATCCACTGTCTGTCTTTTCTCTTGTTGCTGAGACAAAATACTGACACCCAAAGTTAAGGGGTTGTTTAGCTCACAGTTGGTAGAGGTTTCAGTCCATAATCAGCTGGGTCCAAGCAAAGTGGCATGACAGAGGGGCCACACAGAGGAGAAATAGTTCTTGGCGGCAGAAGACAGCAAAAACAAGCAAGCAAGGGGACTCAGCAGCATCTTTCCACCCCTTGAATTTTGTCCGTACTACGGTAATTGGGGCATCAATCAGTGGACATTCTTAATCACACACCCTTAGTCCCCACATCACATACTCTAGATTCAGCTGTTTCTGAAAAACACTATGACTGCATAATGCTTTGAGGGAACATCTAGACACAATCCACAACATCCATCAAGGACAGATGATTGACAAATGAATGCAAGATGTACAGTTTTCCAAACTGGTTTTCATTTGTAGCCCTTACTATATACATTTACAAGTGTCATTATTTACATTGATTTTCATTGGAATTACAGTCTTTCTCCTTTTCCTATTGAGTGTTGATTTTTACCATGGTGCAGATGTACCACAGCTCACTTACTGAGTGTAATCATGGTTCCTTCCCAGCTTGGGCAATTATGATTAAAGTAGTTGTAAACTTTCTGGAGCATGAATATAGGATTGCATGATAAAAGTATGTTGAGATTCATAAGGAAGTTCCAAACTATCTTTAAAAATGAGTATGTTGTTTTTCATTTGCACCAGCATAAAAGAATCTCTGTTCCATACCTTCACTGTCATTTGGCATTGTCAGTATTTTGCATTTTCATTTTCTAATAAGTGTGTAGTGGTCTCATTTTAATTTGATGATATTTGATGATTAGCCCTTTCTCATACGTTTTACTAATCAGAATCTCTGATAGTCTTTTGCATTTAAGTAAAATACAGTATGTTAAAGAGTTTTAATACCATGTGTCTTTGGAGTCAAGTGATATTTTAATGATTAGCCCTTTCTCATATGTTGTGTTGCCATCTGTATATCTTTCTGCATGTTTATTCAGATCTTTTGATGATTAGCCTTTTTTCGTATGTTATGTTGCCTTCTGTATGTCTTTCTGTGTGTTTATTCAGATCTTTTGTCTACTTTTTAATTTGATTGTTTCTTGTTATTGATCTAGTTTTTATATTATGAAGCACCTCACCACAGAAGATATACAGAGGGCAACTAAACACATCAAAAAATGTTCATCAGTAGTCATGGGGAAATGTAATGAAAACCACAACAAGATACTACTACATATGCATAAGAATGGCTAAACTAAAAATAACAATAACAAGTATTGAGAAGGTATGGAGAAATGGGGGTCTCTTTGCATTACCACTGAGAATATAACAAGGTATCCCCCATTGGGCAGTGTCTTTGGAAGTTAAATATATATATTTACCATACAGCCTAGCAACTTGACTCTGCAGTATGTACTTCTGAAACTGAGAAACACTTTCACATGAACAGAGGCACATAAATCAGTGTAGCAGCATTATTTGTTACAGCTAAAAACTAGAACCATGCACGTGTACATCACTGGTAAATGGATAAGCAAAATACATCTTCATAGTAATTTCACATATAATAAAAAGAAGCTACTGGTAAATACACTTTCATGATTGGGTCTCAAAAACACGATGCTAAGTAAGACAGACACATTTATTTTATCCCATTTATAAAAATTTTAGAATTTTTAGGTAAAATTTTAAATACAGAAAACAGATTATTGGTTGCTTGCAACTGCCATGTGAACAGAGATTGATTGCGTAGGGTCGCAATGGAACTGTTGGGGTGGCATAGTGACTTAGAACCATGTTGTGGTAGTTGCACAGTTGTGTAGCTTCCGTAACCACCTTTAAATTGTGTCTGTTTCATGTTATGGAGCTATTACAGTTGTTTTCAACAAACAAAACTGTGTAATAATGTATTTCATTCCTTTTTTTACCTAGGTCATTATCTGCAAGAAATTTTCTGAGAGGCTGACAGAATTTCCGTTGCTAGCCTCTTGGTACCAGAGGATTCAAGAAGTGCCAAGAGTAAAGACAGCAGCTTCTAAGTGTGGGATCCAGTTTCTCCATTTACCAGAGTTGTTGACCACTCCAAACAAGCCTGATCCACAGTTAAGTGAAGCCCTAAGTGGAGAAGAACAGAATGATCCTTCATTTATTGGAGGACCAAGACCAACCATGACCAAGTTAATGGTACTTAAATTATTTTATTGTAATGTTATTTGAAAACTTCCATGTGACAGTATGTGTCAACATCCTACCTCAGTGAGCAGTTTTAATGCAACTTTTTTTTATAAATTTTATCCATAGTTATTTTATACCACTTTTACTAATTAGTATCTCTGATAGTCTTTTGCACTGAAGTAAAATATAGTATGTTGAAGAGTTTTAATACCATGCGTCTTTGGAGTCAAGTAAATTACAATATATACTTTAAAAAAATATTTTTCTTAAAATATTTCTAAATTCAGGACATGGATCAATGTACTATATCTGGTCAAATGTATTGTTTTAATCTGATGTTTTTCTATTGCAAAGTTTTGGTGTCAGTCTTTTTAGGCTTGAGATGATGATCTGAAGTTAAAGAAATACAAAGATGACTATCTCAATTTCTTTTCCAGTATGGTTTTCAAATTCTTTCAATTTTTAATGAACTTAATGTATTTGCTATTAGTAAGAATAATAAAACATAATTTGTTTCTCATCATTCAAGCTATAAATTTTTGCCAATAGGCTTTGTTTTCCTTATAATTTGAAACAACCTACAAAACTCGTTTGCTTTTATCAAGATTACTTAAGCCAGGTGTGGTGGCACACTCTTGTAATCCCAGCATACGGGAGGCTGAGGCAGGTGGACTGTGGTAAGTTTGAGGCTAGCCTGGGCTACAAAGTGAGCCCAAGGCCAGCCTGAACCGCCATAGCAAGACCCTGTCTCAAAAAGGCAAGAAAAAAAAACAGTATTTGAAAATTACTTAAAGGAGAATTCATAAAATGATTGAATATTCATCTGAGTTGCACAGAAAAAATATTTTCCTCTTTAGTCTAGGAAATGTTTGACTTCTATAATGACAGAAAATTTACTGGCTTAGAAATGCACAGAGATTATAGTAGTGTACCAAACCCACATGCCTTTACTGAGCTCTTAGCCTGTTGGTAGCGTGCACGTAAGGCTGGTTTCAGCAGTCAGGGCATGTCTAGAGTTGGTGTCTTGGTCAGGTGGATGCACTGCTGAGGGGCTTTGATTTTCCTCCTGAGTGGATACAGGCTTCTCTGGAGGATGATGAAACGTTCTGAAATATATAGTGGGGATAACTGTGCATATTATAAAACCTGTTGAATCTCATGCTTTAAAAGAGTAAATTTTAAGATATATAAATAGTATGTCAATATGGTTGTATTTCTTAAAAGGCTGTGTGGTAGAAGTGAGGAATAGCAAGGCCAGTGTGGCTAAAGGAGGTAGAAGAGGGCCGGTGACGCCAGAGATGTGTGTGTCTTTCCAGGGATTTTAGATCCCTAGCTGTGGCACCGGCCTTACCAAAAGGTTATTCCTACTAGACCTTCTAAACAAAACAGTATTTGTATTAATTCATTAATTTGGAAAGAGACTATTTTCTTTTCTAGGAGAAAGGCATTAAAGTGATGTTTTCTCCGCACCCCTGCCCTACGTGGACCCTTGACTGGAACAGTCTTCCTGCTGCAGTGAGCCCAAAGGAAGGTGGGTTTTTCTTTAAGTTTTATTTAAAATTGGATCTGTCTTCCAATTCTCTCATTCTTTATTTGATTGTACCTAATATTCTAATGACAGTAACCATTGAATTTTCATTTGTATTACGAAAAATTTCACATATTCATGTCACTCGAATTTAATATTTTCCACATTTTCCTACGTTCACTTCATCCACTTGCTTTTTTTTTTTCCTTATACATTTTAAAACAAATCCTAGGTAATATCTCTTATTTTAGCACATACAGTTAAAATATTTAAACAACTACAGTGCCATTTTGACACTTAATAAAAATTAACAAAGCTTTTGTGGTTATCTAATAGTCCATAATCTATTTTTCCTGTTACATTATTGCTTAAAAATATTTTTATTGCTTGGTATTTAATTAAATATTTATATCTTTATTCTTAGAAATTTTTTTGTTTTGCAAAATTTTTTTTTGTTCATGTTTTTGTTTCTCTATTTTATAATTCTTACTGAAAATAATTGATATTCATAGCTGTCTAAAAATCTTTGTTTTTTCTGTTAACTTTTTTCTGGTCTCTTATTTCCAAGTGAATTTTGAAATTTTAGACTGTGAGTTCAGTTTTGGGTTACCTCAATTTGTTGACACTAAATTCCTACAGCAAGTGTTTGTATTTATTTATAGCAGGCTCTCAAAGGATTAGAATTTAAGGCCACTTTACGATAGTTTTTCACCTTTAAATCTGTTGAAGATTACTATCTGAAGCTGAGCTTTAAATAGATAAATTATTTTTTATTATCTTCCATTTTTGTTGGATAGGACTTTTTCTGAGTTTTCTTAGAGGGAATATAATTTTTGTTACGAATATTGGTACATTTTAGATATACATAAAGTTCATTGTCGTCATAGGAAGTTTGTACGTGTACCGGAAACATTTGATTTCTCTTTTTTCCAATCCCCTTTCCTCCTTGCAACCCGCTTCCCCTCCCTATTCGCAAAGCTTTGTTTCCATTTTATCCGTTTATTTAAAACTTTTTTTTTCCTTTTCCCTTTCTTCCTTTCCTCTTTCCCCCATGCTAGTTCTTTCCTTTTGAACAATTTATTCCTGTTTCATAATATCTATTCTACATTTTGGACCTTAGGTACTCACCGTTTCTCACAGGGAAACAGTGTGATGTTTACACATGTGAATCTGATGTAATTCACTAAAAACAGTATGGTCACAAGTTGCATCCCTTTACCTAGAAATGTCTCAAATTTATCCTTCATCATAGCAAAGTACTCCATATATATAAAAAACCATATCTTCTCTAGTCATTCCTCAGTTGATGCTTAGTTGGGTTGTTTCCAAGATTTTGCTATTGCAAACTGTGCTGCTATTAAACATAGGTGCACATACATTGCTGTAGTATGATGTTTTTAATTCTTCTGGGAAGATACTGGGTCAGATGGACTTCTAATCCTTGGTTTTTTAGGAATCTCTACTGATTTTCCACAGTGGCTGCGCCAGTCTGTAGTGCCACCTGCAGGGAGGAACTGTTCCTTTTTTCCCTGCAGCCCTTCCAACATTGATTTCTTGATGATAATTGTTCTTTCCAGGGTGAGATGCAATCTCAGTATTGTTTTAATTTGTATCTCTCTACTAACTGGTGATAGTGAACATTTTTTCATATATTTATTTGCCATTTATATTTCTTCTCTGAGAAGTGTGTATTCATCTCAGATGCCAATTGTTGGACTGAGTCTTTAAATTTGGGGGTCCGATTTTTTTCAGTTTTTTTGTGTTTTAGATCTAAGTCCTTGTCTAAAGAACAAGTGGCTAAAATTTTTTCCACTCTGGATTTTCTTTGCATTCTGTTGGCATTTTCTTTTGCTGTACAAACGTTTTTTAATAGAATAAAATTCCAGTTGTTGATTCTTTGTATTATTTGCTGTGTAACTGGGGTTTTTGTTCATGAAATCTTTGCCTATACCAGTGTCTTCAAGAGTTCTGCCTTTTCTCTCTTCCAATAGATTTAGTGTTTCTGTTTTAGTATCTTTGATCCTTTCTGATTTTAGTTTAGTGCATGATGAGAGACAGGGGCCTAGTTTTAGTCTTTGTCTTGTGAAAGTGAGTTTTTCAGCATCATTTATCGGAGGCTGTCTTTCTTCTAGTGAATGTTTTTGGTTCTTTTGTCAAAGATAAGATGGTTAAGTGTATCTGGAGTTGTTTCAGCATCTTCTAATCTGTTCCATTGATCAAGTGTACTCTTTACTAGTATCATGCTGTTTTATCACAGTATCTTTAGTATAATTTCATAGTAGCTTGCAGTATAATTTCAAATCAGGAATTTTAAATGCCCCTTGACTTGCCTTTTGTTTCCGAGAATTGCTTTTGCTGTATTGTCTCTTCTGAATGAACTTTAGGAATGTTTTCTCTAGTACTGTGTGGTATGCTTATGATATTTTGATTGGGTTTGCATTAAATGTGTATAACAATTTTGGGAGTGTGGCCATTTTACTATGTTGGTTCTTCCTATCTACAAGCAAGAGAAATCTTTCTATTTTGTGATACCCTCTTCGAGCTCTGTTTTCAGAGTATTGTACTTTTTTAATGTATAGATCTTTTGCTGCCTTTGTTAGATTGATTCTTGAGTGTTTCTTTTTTCTTTTTTAAGATGCTATTGTGGAGGGTGTAGTTTCCCTAATTTTTTTCTCAGTGAGTTTGTTGTTTGTGTACAGAAATACTGTTGATTTTTTTGGTGGTGGTGGGGGCTGGGAATCAAAATCAGGAATTTGTGCTTGCCAGGCAGTTGCTTGTGCCTCTCAGCTATATTCCAGCCCCCAGTGCTACCAGTTTTTGAGTGTTGATTTTGTATCCACCTATACCCTGAATTTTGTTATTAAATCTATAAGGTCTTTGATGGAATTTTTGGGGTCTGTTATGTAGAGTATCATGTCATCTGATAATTTAACTTTTTCATTTTCTGTCTTCATTCCTTTAATTTCTTTTTCTTGTCTAATTGCTCTGGCTAATGTTTCTAGAACTATAGTGAATAAGAATGGTGATAGTGAAGATCCTTATCTTGTTCCTGATTTTGGAGTGAAAGCTTTCAGTTTTTGACTGTTGGTTTGTCATAGATGGATTTTATCATATGGAAGACATGACCATGTGTTCCAATTTTCTGTAGGGTTTTTATCAAGAATGGGGGTATTGGACATTGTCAAGTGCTTTTTTTACATCTATTGAGAGGATAATGTGATTTTTGTGTTTGGTTCTGTTAATAAGATGTATTACATTTGTTGATTTGCATATGTTAACCATCCCTGTATCTATCAGATGAATCCTACTTGGCCATAGTGTATAATATTCTTGATGATTTGCTGCATTCTGTTTACCAGTAACTTATTAAGGATTTTTGCATCTGTGTTCATTAGGGAGATTATTCTGTAGTTTTCTTTTTCAGTTAGGTCCTTTTCTGGTTTAGCTATCACAGCAGTACTTGCTTCCAAAAGTGATTTTGGAAGTATTGCTTTCCTTTCAAGTTCATGAAGGAGTTTCAGAATTAGTGACATTATATCTTCGATAAATTTCTTGTAGATCTCAACAGTGAATCTGTCAGGTCCTGGGCTTTTCTTTGTTGGTTGGGCTGTTATTTACATTTTCTTTTTCACTGTCTGATGCCAGGTTTTTTCAGAATTTTTACATCTTCTTGATTCAGTTTTGGTAATGTGAATGTGTCCAGGATTCTGTTCATTTCTTCTGTGTTACCCATCTTATTAGAGTACAGGTTCTTGAAGTAGGTATTGATTATCTTCTATATTTCCACAGGATTCTTTGTGATTTAACCCTATTTATTCCCAGTTGCTTAAATTTGAGTCTTTTCTTTTCTCTCTTTTGATAAGGTTGGGTAGGGGTTTATTTTATTCTTTCAAATAACTCACTGTTTGATTCGTTCTTTGTATTGTTTTCTTAGTGTCAGTTGCTTCAATTTCTGCTCTATTCTTTATAATTTCCTGTCTTGTATAAACTTTGGATTAGACTTGCTTTTACTTTTCTAGCAATTTGAGATTTAACATTAGGTTATTGATTTAAGCCCATTCTGGTTTTTCTGATGTGAGAATTCACTATTATAAATTTCCTACTAGAACTGCTTTTATTTCATTCCATAGTTCCAGTATGTTGTGTCAACATTGTCATTAAATTGTAGATATTCTTCATTCTTCTTTAATTTCCTCTGTGACCCATTGGTTGCTCAGGAGGGTGTTGTTTAATTTCCATGTGTTTATGGAGTTTTTGTGATTTCTTTTGCTATTGAGTCTAGTTTCATTGCAGTGTATTCACATAATATGCACGGGATAATTTCAGTTCCTTGCACTTACTTAAGCATCTTCTTTGGGCTATCTATCACGTGGTGTGTTTTGAAGAACATCCCATGTGCAGCTAAGCAGAATGTGTATTCTGATGTTGTAGGATGAAACACTATAGACATATATTAAGTCCATTTGTTATAGGTTTGTTTTAATTATAATTTTTTGTTGATTATTTTGTCTGTTTTATCTATCTAGTTGTGAGAGTGGTATATTGAGGTCCCCTATTATAATTGTGTTACTGCTTGTTTTCTTTTTATATCCATTAATATTTGTTTTATGGAGTTGGGTACACCAGTATTCAGTGCATATATATTTATGATTGCTATCTCTTCTTGAAGTATTCCCTTAAGAAGAATGTAGTGACCATCTGTGTCTCTTTTGATCAGTCTTGGCTTGAAGACTGGGTTCTTGTGGTATGGAGTATTGTTTTCTACCCTTTGACTTTCAGCCTAAGAATTTCTTTTTAAATCAAATGTGTTTACACAACATATTGTTGGATCTTGCTTCTTATCCATTCTGCCAGTGTGTCTCTTTTGATTGGTGAATTGAGACTGTTTATATTGATGGTTATAATAGATATGTATTGCCCTTTCTCCTTATTTTCTTATTGTTGGTTCCTTATCTTTTCTCTCTGTTTAGTTGCTTTTCCTACCTGGTGGTTTCTTTCTGTTG